TCCACGCTTTAAGATTGAAAATTTTAAAATTTTAGTTGAGTATTACTATAGTTGTTTTTTAGATGAAAATAGTTATTACTACAGTCATTTAATAGAATGGAAAAAAGAAAGAGATAATGATATAACTTTTTTTGAGAATTTGTTTGAGGAATATCAAGGGTTATACGGCACTGTACAAGAAGAAACAGCACCACCTCCGCCCCCGAAATCAAAAAAAGGTTTTGCCGGAATAGTCGGTGGTCTTCTTGCAAAGAAAGGGAAGCGTGCTCATTCTTCGACGAGTTCAAGTGGTACAACAGTAAGCTCGCACAACGAACTTGCTATGTACCAGGGTGTGCCATGCGATTACGACGACGACGACGTGGATTTTGATGTGCTCGGATGGTGGAAGCAGAACGAACACATGTTCCCATGTCTAGGCATGCTAGCAAGACAAGTGTTATCCGTTCCGGTATCAACCGTAGCAGTTGAACGAGAATTCAGTGCTGGCGGCAACATTCTAACCGACTTTTGAAGTTGTCTTAGCGCTGAATCTCTTGAAACACTGGTTTGCAACCAAGATTGGCTCTTGGCAAGACGCCGAGCTCAAGAGTCATCGTACCTACTCGAATCGGAGCATTACATGAATGCAACAACAGATGGAAGTCCGAGTTCTGAAGAATAAGTTATAATTTTTTTTATGTTAATGTAGATATGTAATTAGTTTTTTTAGGTGAGCGATATATAAGCTCCTTCGAGGGTTTCTTTACGGTTCTTTACCTCGTCGCTTTTTTTGAACCGTCAGGATATTAAATGTGGTTGTTCTTCAGTTAGTGTATTATTCATTTAAAATATTTAAATAACAACTACATTTTTAAATTTTTTATTTCATTCTTTCCTTAAAGAATTGCAAATTTAAAATTTTATACTATAAAAATTTTAAAAAAAGCAAAAAAAAAAAAAAGGAGGGGGGGCGAAACCGGCCGGTCCGGTACCGGAACCGCCGGTCCGGGAACCAGAACCGGTACCGGCCGGCACGGTGACGGTTCCGGTGACATGGGGTGGCGGTACCGGAACCGGCGGTTCCGGAACCGGAACCGTACCGTGTCCACCCCTAGGTACGACTATTGAGGTGCATCCCAACACGCACTACAAAAAAATACTCCTTCGTTCGGAATTTTTTTTTTCATTTAACTTTTCACGGTCTTCAATAATGTACTTTGACCATTAATACTTATATGAAATATTTGCACTAAATAGCACTAAAACTTAAGTCATTTTCCTAAATAGCACTTAAATTGTTTTATTCCCTAAATAGCGTTAATAATGTCCATAATATCCAGTGATGGCGAATATTTACTTGAATAATGACTAATGCATAATGACTAAAATGCTACATTGAGAAGAAAAACACATATGGTGTTATTTAGGGAAAGTCATTATGTTTTAGTGCTATTTAAGTAAATTTCTCAGCTTATATTTATACATAGATATATTTTATAGAAATTTGATATTTCAAAATTACGTTTCATTAAGAATATAATCAAACTAAATTTATATCATAGTACAATGTATTTTTTCTACAAATCTGAGTCAAAATTTACAAATTTTGACCACAAAAGTCAAATGTAAAGAATATTTTTGGACGAAAGGAGTATCTAGATACAACCCAATCATCTCACTAATGAACTGTGGCCCGGTGAGGTCGTGGAGGTGGGCCGAGTGAATGCATCGAGAGGACAAGATCACAGAATCTACGTCCCAAATCCAGTATATCTATCTGTTATACTCTATACTCACATTAAAATTATAAAGTACGGAGTTAACATTTTTCAAAATTTGGAAAACTACATTTAACGTGTAACACATCAGTATGAATCTCGTATTTCAACAAGAGAATGAGAGGTTGATAACATCATTGATGGTAGCCGAAATCATGCCCAAAAAATATTGTCCCAAAAAATAGTATTGTTAGTTAGTGTTAGCATTTTAAATAAAATTTTAATGACTAGATTAACTTTGAAAACGCTAACACTAAACGCTTCTAGCGAATAGGCTTTTCAAAATGTTAACACTAACTTTCAACGCTATTTTCAAACAAGCTCTTAACTTTTTTTAAGTGTGTGTACAAAAAATAAAGACCCAAAGTGAGGGCCTTAGGAAATAAGTAAAACCCATTTAATTAGTGGTCGAGCTTTGAACAAGCCTTACAAATCCGAGACTGGCCTGCACTTTAATGATATACGTTGCTCAGTTTAAATTGTTTATTTGGTACTCTATAGTTAAACTTTAATTACTTTTTCCTCATTTTAATTACTCTTCTGATAAATAATTGTCATGTCACCCTTGATTCGTAAAAGCTTTGATATAATTTTTATATATGTCTCGTATGTTTTAAGTAGTCTTTTGTTTCAAATTAAATTATCTGTTTACTATTTACGTGGTCAAACTTTATTTACTTTCCTTTTTTTATTTTCATTAGTCATTTGATAAAACAATATAGTCATGTCATCACTACTTTTATAAATCTTTTGATATAGTTTTTGAATATGTAATTTTTTATACCATTTTTTACATAGAATAATTTGAAAATAAATTCAGTCAAACATCGTAAACCGAAACAAGCGATTTAAATTGGGACGGAGGGAGTAGTGTTTTTAGTTTTGCATCATTTTTAAATAAATTAAATTAAAAATGATTTTAGTCAGATATAGTACACAAGTAACACAACAGTGAACAACTTAAATTAGATCGAAAGAAGTATAATATTAATTCTATTAGGTTGTGTTTGGAAACTAGAATTCATTTGAAATGTTAGATTTCAATTCTAACATTATTTAAAATTCCATAATTTCAAATTCCAAATGTTGTTTGTGAAGTCATAAAATTTCAATTCTAGAATTTGCATTTTGAAATCGGCAAAGACCGTTATGGAAGGCGATTGACATGTATGAATTATTACTTACTCCGTCCCTAGAAGATTGCCACAGTTTGACCATTTTTGATCAAACTGTGACACCTTTTGACCGCGAATTATGGAATACGTATATTTAGTTATAATGTAAATTTAGTAAAATTAGGTTTATTTTAAAATATAGTTTTGAAATATCAAATTTTTATAATATTTAATCATCTTAAACTATTTTTAATTCATAGTAATGGTCCAACAGTTTGACCAAAAATTCAAATTATGACAATCTTTTAAGGACGGGTAGAGTATTACATAAGGAAATATCACTCTTTAATTACAAATTCTAAATTAAATAAAAGTTAGGGTTGAGTTTGTAAATGACATAGGGATAGGTGTGGATTTGTAGTTGATTTAATTTTGAATTAGAAGAATTTGGTCCAAATCCAAATACAAATTCTTTGAGTTTCAAACAAGCAATTTGGATCAAATCTGGATTTGAAATTTAAATTCAAATTCCCAAACATACCATTAAGATTTTTAAGATATATTAAAAATCAAATAAAATATGGGCATAATATTTGTCCACATTAATTCAAAGCAAATGTATCTAAAAAGTCATAATAAATACTCTCCATTCTACAACAATTGTCATTTAAAGATTATTAAATACATTAAATTTTGAATTAATGTAGACTTAATTATTTCTAAATTCTTTTAAAATCTACTTTATCTAATAAATATTAATATGCAATTGTTGGGGAATGGAGGGAATAATCATTTAGTAATAGAGGGAATATATTACAAGGACTATTCAATTAATGTAGTCAATTTCTAGGCTATGACTACTTTTTTTTTATTTTTTTAAAAAATGTTATTGACTCTATTACAATATTTTTAACTTAATAACGCATAAAGAATCAACACCATCGCTGGGGCTCAAACTCGGATGAAATTCCCCATAAATCGTAGGAAATGTGCTTCTTGCCACTCAAGTTAAGGGAAAAGTACATGACTACATTTTTTTCACAAAGCTTATTTATATTACTTGCTCGTACCCATTTAAGTTGACCATTGTTGCTTACAATATGTGTCTCAAAGCATCTTTAGTTCAATTTATATTAAAATCGGTATAAATAGAGACGGAATTAATATCTCATAATTTTTCTCCTATTTTAATTTATTATATTTTTTAATATTTTCATCTCTATGCATTAAAAAAACATATTTCCATATTCATATTAAAATATTTTGGACATGCTTGGACCAAGTAGTGGCCATAATTTCTAATGTGGCAGATTTGGACAAAATAGGAGATGCATTTAATGAGGCCGACCTGGGCAAGGCTTGGACATACAATTTATCAGTAATTACCGGTGTAAAATCCGGCTCAAACATGTCCAAGCCGGCAGGCCCAGGTCCCCCTCACTAATGTCGCACCTGCCCCATCACTTGGAGGGTGGAACGGAATTATACCATGATACAAATGTTTGTTTTCATGACCATTAGACCATGAGGTTAATGTATTTTATATTTGATTAACGTAGAACTGCAGAAAAGAATATACATTATAATAAAAATCAAACTCACTACAAAACTCATATGCCCTTTTCCCCCACCACTATATTAATTATCATCTATTCGCAAATTGTTGTTTATGATCAATTAATCAGCAAGCCACTGCACTCTGGGTAGCAGTTTCTCTAGTGGGGCGATGCTCCTGCATCACAAATTCAATCATTTACAAACTATAAATAAAACTACAATCCTTTTTTCGAATTGTCACAACACTTGTGGCTATTCCGAATAAACTCTAATAACTCACTTTTCACTTTTCAATACTTTACTAAAATTTCGTGAAGACAATTCTTTGCACGACAGCAGGAGGATTCCCTAAATTTTGTGGTGTGGGGCCTATGGCCTCCGTCCCCTCGGTGGGCCCCCATTTTTGGTTGATTGAAAAAATGAAGCATGACCAACTCAAAAGTGGTTTGAGTTGGGCAATCTTTATTGTGTTTTCACCCAAATTGATGCAGCATGTCAAGAAGTTCAGGTTCCACCACAGTTCAGACCCCATCATATAATTACTTGGTCCCATAAAACTGAGTCCATGTGCTTTAACCACCCTTAAGGCAAAGATGGTTGCATTGCACATAGCACCTTGGCAACATTTTGCCAGGTATTGCAACTTTTATACTATGAATCTATTTACTCATACACACAAACTGAGTCCATATATTGTTAGGCACTTACAGCACGGAAAGGGAATTCGTCGGCCTCAAGCATGTTGACTATTTGTCCCATCTTTGGTCGCTTGTTGGCATCCATATCTATACATCGAAGGCAAACCAGCAATACTCGTTTGAGGGCTCTTGGGGGCGGGCGGACTTCAATCAGGGGGTCGACCAATTCCTCCCCTTGCCGATTTGCTACCATTCCTTTAAACCAGTCAATCAAGTTCATCTGCACTTCAAAAAAAAAACTTTACAAGAATAGTGATGGATTCAAAATCTTGTTTCCTAGTGTGTTAAGGAACCAATCAATCAAGTCCGTCTAGGTCAACAAAATTCTGACATCATCATGTTCAGGAACCTAACTCAACCAAAAACTCCTGGTGGTTCGCGAAGAGGGTTTATTTTACCTTATACTCCCTCCGTCCCCAATTTGATTACAAATTGCGGGTTACGGTGTAAAATTTTCTATTTTTTGAAATCATTTTATTTACAAATTGGTATATCAATAAGATATAAAAATTACATATTAAAAAACTACGTCAAAAGTTCTACAAAACAAGAGGTGACAAGAATATTTTATTTTATCAAATACTTAATGAAATCGCGTAAATAAATAAAAGTTATCGAGAGGAGAGAGAAAAAAAATTGTAATCTATTTAGGGACGGAGGGAGTAGCTAGTTGTAAGGTCTGCGTAACACCCACCTCCCAAAACCCACTTTGTGGGACCTTATTCAGTCAATGTAGGAAGGGTAGTGGGGTTTGATAAGGCAAAAACTGATCTCACCTTTCCAGGGGGTTTAGAATAATCAACAGGACTTCTTCCTGTAACGATTTCCATGAGCAAAACACCAAAGCTGTACACATCGCTACCCTCATTAAGCATTCCGGTACTCGCATAGTCAGGGGAAACATATCTGCAGTAAAAGCCAGACTTGCACTTTGAAATTAGCATGAACCAAAATGAGAGATGCAAACAGTTAGCATACCACAAAAGTAAAATTGGAAATTGAAAAATGTACGGACCCGAAAGTTCCCATAACACGGGTTGTCACATAACTTTTCTCTCCTCCTAGCAACTTGGCAAGTCCAAAATCTGATACTTTGGCATTCCATTTTCTATCCAAGAGAATGTTACTAGACTTTATGTCGCGATGTACAACTTTAGGTTCCAAGCCTTCGTGTAAATAGGCAAGCCTGCCAAAAGAAATCGACATATATGCACAACGTAGATCAACACCTCTTGTACGTTGGTTTTTACCGGAGTAATTTCTATATATTTTGTGCAAGAAAAGACTAGCACCTCTTGTGGGAGGGATGATTAACAATGTGGTGAATGATGATTATAATCTAATGTGAAAATATGATTCTTCCACTCAAAATTTTTAACAAAGAAATTAAGAGTAAGAGTTTCCATATTCCAAAAACGTATGTGTTGGTTAGAGAGATTATGTTACCCTCTAGCAATCCCAACTGCAATTTTCATCCGAATGTCCCAAGTTAGAGGGCTAACCGGCCCCACATCACCATGTAACCACTGCTCCAAATTGCCGTTATCAACATACTCGTACACAAGTAACCTGGTGGGTTAATGGCATAAATACATTAGATAGATCATATACCCAAGATTTTGTTTTTAAGCACATGATGTTGAAGCTGAAGAGTGAAGAAGATATATACCTTTGAGTTCCTTCTGCACAATAACCAAGCAGACCAACCAGGTTTTTATGTCTTACTTTGCCAATGGCCTCAACTTCCACCTTGAACTCTTTCTCTGCCTGACCCCTGACGTTACGTATATGGCATAATAACATTAAAGAATAACAATAACAATGATGATGACGATGATGATGATGATGATGATGATGATGTAAAGGATGAATGGTTAGGTGATGTATTAAATGAGCACTCTTACTACTACACATCAGCTCTCAAACTACTATTAGATAAGTGTCGTAATCATATCATATATACCCACTCCCTTCTTAAGTAGTTGTCCATTATAACTTTTTGCATATACTAAAAATTGAATGAATGTGGACATACATGATATTGACATTCATTTGATTCTTAATGTATGTAGAAAATCATAACGGGCAGTTATTTAAGAACGGATGGAGTATAAACTTACAACAATTAGGTAACATAATTTGATGAAAAATGATACTCTCCAATAAAACAGTGGGATAGTAAAACTGGCTTAACAACATAAACTTAAATATCCTCACAAATGTGGGTGTTTGAGTCCAAATTTACATCCTCGGGAATTGTTGGGGTCGGCTTTAGAGATTAAGTATTAATCTGGAAAAGCCGGTAAACCTAATCTATCTTTTAGAAAAAACAGGAAAAAAAACAGAGGAGAGGAGTATGTAATTAGACATGAAAGTTCAGAAAATGTATGACATGTTAGTTAGCACATCACTCCAAGTCAACCACCAACCAACCAACCAGTCCTCTACTGCTATAATTGCACTGTTTGAAGCCTGAGGAATTGATGTAGCGTAATCAAATGAGAGTTGAAGTGTCCTTAAATTCTAGTAAACATCAATAACAGAGACATGCCAACCGTGTGATGCTTCCTTCAATGTTTACTACTCAACTCCCATTTTTCTTTAAAAAAAAAATTCCAAGATCTAGAGATTGCGAATCTAGAAGTTTAATCTCTTATACAGTCCGTTCTAATTTTAATCGCATGTTTCGATTTACGATGTTTGACTGAAGTTATTTTCGATGCAATTTATTACGGAGTAAAATATTAGGGCGGAATTAAAAATATAAACTTTACAAAATCAATCAAAAATTCAAAGTTGTAATTTTTAGTTTTACTATACCATCTGACCAAAGTGGAGACAACAAATTGAGAAAAAAACACTCTCTGAGTAACAGAGGAGGCAGAATTTAGAATGGACTTTATTACCAAGTGGTAAAGAATAATTTATAACAGCTTTAATTGACTGTAAAAAAAATGTCTGTGGGGTAAAAAATGCTCATCCACTGCAACTTTCGAGGCATTGCGTGAATATAATGTTAGAAGTAACTTGCTTTTTTGGGAGCAGAAATCATGCCACCCACATGCACTTCACCTCTGAAATTTAATGAATATACTTTTTTTTATTCCCTTTTAATTATTCGCATTTTATATTTAGTCAGAATTTAAAGAACATAGAATTGAATTTTGTATTTGTGGATGAGAGAAAAACAATTTAAGAATATTAAGTAGAAATTTATGTCCAAACAAAATTAGTTAAGATATTGATTTACTCACTTGTTGTTGAGAAGATTCTTCACGGCGACTACAACCCCGTCCGGCAATAAACCTTTGTAGACAACACCGTAGCCTCCTTCTCCGATGACATTGTCGGCCGAGAAGACATTGGTGGCCATCTCCAGCTCTCTCAAGCTGTACCACCGGCCCCACCCGATGTTCGAGCCGTCGGTCGAACAGGACAGAGCGGAGGACGAAAACTCGCTCCGACTCGTGCTCGACTCGTTGCTCTCCGAACTCCCTTTTATCTCCACCGACTCGACCGCCGCCTCCTCTCCCAAGCCTTTCGCCTTTCCGGTCCCCTCGTCTGTTCTCCGGCCGCCGGTCCCGGGATCCTCCTTCTTCACCAGCGGCAGCAAAGTGGAGCCCTGTTTCGCGGGGCGCCGCCTCCTCGGGGAGCGGCGGCGCAGGCGGAGGAGCAGGAAGATGAGGAGGAAGATCGTGACCGTAATGGCGACTGTGGCTGCGACGATGACATAGAGAGGGAGGCGTAGAATTGGCGTTCTTGAGCTGAAAAATCCGGCGGAGCTGCTACGATTATCGCCGGAAACAGCCATTTCTTCCGGCCTTGGAAATTGTTTTATTGTAGTGGAGGCTATGGAGATGATTTACAGTTGCACCATTACAAAATCCGCAATTTTTTTTGTGTGGAGTTTAAATTTGAAGAGAGAGAAGCAAGAGAGAAAGAGAGAGAATTGTATAGAGAGATGGGTGGGTGAGTGAATGAGTGAAAGAGATGTGTTTATGAAAGATGGGAATTACAGAAATGCCCATGGAAGTGTTTTTAAGGATTTCGGTATGTAGGACGCCACCACGGTACTCCCTCCGCGGGTCAGCATGGTACGGTATAGTACGGTATTTAGCTCGTATCGATATCATACCAAATATTTTGGTTCGGTATGAGATTTTACTCCATACCGATTCCGATCCCGAAATATCGGTTCGGTATGATTCGGATGGTTTGATATCGGTTTCGGTACAAATCGGGATGAATATACATACTTTACACGTTAAAATTTAACAAAGCTCCTTTATTTTTGAAAATTAAAAAGTGAATTTAAATAAAAAAAAACATAAAAAATTTAAAAAATGAATATTGAAATGAAAGAGATGCGTATCAAAACTTAGTTTATATTTCACTAACTAAAAAAATGAACGACAATAAAAGGGTATTTCGAATCTTTGTGAATACTTTTATGTTCACAAACAAAAACTAAAATCAAATAAAAGTATAATTTACATATAATAGAACTTGAACCAATTTTTTTTTTTGGAAAAAATTATTATTTAGTGAAGGAATATAAAAATATTACTCCCGGGTATTATTATTTACCCCTCCGTCCATGTATGATTTTCCCATTACGCGTTACGAGGCTTGATCGTCAATTTAATTTAATTGATTATAGGAGTAAAATTTTAAAATAAAATTTATATAGTAATAAACTACATTAAAAGTTCTACAAAACTAGAGGTGACAAGGCTATATTATTTTATGAAATGATTAGTCAAATTGAGCAAACAAAGTGAGTAAAGTTTGACCCTGTGAATAGTGTCTGGGAAGATTTATGGTGGACAGAGGGAGTATAATATTTTAGTATATATGTTCGGTTCGAGATTTTCGGTATGGGACGTCACCTCGTACCGTTCCCAAGTACCGTACCGACCATTCGGTTCGGTACGGTTCGGTTCCTTCTCGGTATTTTTTCGGTTCGGTATTTTTCGGTTCGGTATTCTCGGTTTTTTCGGGAAATTTCTGTATCGGTTCGGTACTTGCTCACCCCTACGGCCTACCCTCCATATTCTTCCATATTACTCCCCCCTCCCCCGTTGTAGAATGATTTTTTTGTACAAATACCACCACTATACCTCCGTATTTGTATATTTTTAATTTTATTCAATCAAAATTAATTTTATATCAAGTATTTTTATAAATCATTTCTCAATGTAAGATTTAAATTTTGGGAGAAAGACCAAAATAGTACTAAAACATTGAAAATATACCAAAATAGGACTTCCATGTTTTTATTCCCGAAATAGGACTTACATTACCAAACATGGTCATATACATTACCAAAAAAGTATAGTAATTTGCACATGTACATTGCCACATTACCACAATGCAAAGTCACATTACCACAGTGCAAAGTTCTATTCTGGGAAAAAAAACATGAAAGTCCTATTTTGGTACTTTTCTCTATGTTTTAGTTCTATTTAGGATGATTTCTATTAAATTTTTTTATTCTCTAAATAGTATTTAATAATGTCTAGTGAGAGGAATAATGTCTAGTAATGATAAACTTTTACTTGAATAATAACTAATGGATAAATCTCAATAGTCCTGCGTTGGGAAATTAAAAATATATGGTCTTATATTGAGAAAGTTATTATGTTTTATCATATTTAGGTAAATTTTCTTTTACCTTACCTTTTCTATAAGGTTCTTTTCACCATATGGTTAAGAAATGTACTAACTTCTTTTAATTCTTTTGTTACATTTAAAGATTATTTTTAGAAGCGGGGGACAAGGGACAAGTTTACAAACTTCACAAACTTCACAAATGCTAGAGTCACAAACAAATAATTCACAAATTTCACAAACTTGCCTTTTGTGGATTTTAAATTAAAATATCTTTTATTATTTGAGTGCATCTTATTTCTAGAAAAATGTTAAAAAGGCAAATTTGTGATTTTTGTGAACTATTTATTTGTGACTCTAGCATTACTCTTTAGGGGAATATGGTGTGGAGTATGAATTAAAAGGGGGCCTATTGTGGGTCAAGTAAAGTCCCTTGACACCATTGACAAAATAAATATACTAACAATACACCAAAAAAGTATTCTCCAAATGTTCTCAAGATTTCTATATCACACATTTTTGTGTTAATTAAAAAATTAACAAATTATTAAAAAATGTATGCTAAAAATGATGGTATGCAAATGTGATACATCATTTGGAGTATCTCTTGCATTACTCTTGAGAAAATTACAACGTATATACTTTAGAGTTATGTGATTCCGTGTACTTTCAATGCTGGACCAAACAAATAAAGAGTTATGCTTGATTGATCCCAACATTTTTATCACATCCTTTAATCCTAATCTTATAGACATTACAAACACAAAACATTATCAAATATCTGTAATGTCTGTAAGAATCATGAGGTTAAATGGTGGGCTTCAAATGTTGAAGTTAAATAGCATTTTCCATAAATTCTAAACACCAATTGATGCACTTGAAGGAGACGACCATAATTAATTACAAACATTTTTTTCTCACTTTTTGATAATTCTTGTTTATTTGTATGTTTTGATAAAATAAAATATTCTTATTAACTCTTCTTTTATATGACTTTTGACATAATTTTTTAATATGTAATTTTTTTTATTAATTGTACAAATTATGAATATTTTAAAAAAACATAAAATTTTACTTTTGTAATTCCTAATTTAGAATCAAAATTGAGACAGAAGGACTACCTTAGAATTAAAATTGATCCTAAATTAGAATTAAAATTGATCCTCTGTCTTAAATTAAATTGTATGTTTACTATTCATAATATCAAACTGTATTTACTTTCTTTTCTTATTTACATTAGTCGTTTGATATATAATCATATCACCATTAATTTTTTAGATCTTTTAATATAGTTTCCAACTATGTAATTTCTATTTTTTAATTCTGTATCATTTTTTATATAAAATAATTTAAAAAGTGGATGTGCTCGTGTAGACAAGACCGTTTGAGAACAAATGACAAAATTGTCACGACACTGTGAAATCATGAATTTAAATCCGTTGAGCATTGTGTATTTCAATGTTGTACTATTCTAGAAAAACCTACCATTCAATCAATCGCTCACACACCCTTGTTAAATTGAGAGGTCTGCGTACACACACCCTTCCCAGATTCTACTGTAGTGGAATTCAACTGGGATGTTGTTGTTATTGTACTGCATTTAAATTGTAAAGTATCTACTCGTTAAATAATTCAGCATTCAATCAAAAAAATACTAATTGCTTCAATATTACGTCAGTTATGCAATTATGCGTAATAATATGGTCTTTTCAGGTAACGGTCACTCAGAATTTGTTTTAAAAAAAAAGACTAAAGTAAGAGTAAAACATTAAAAATAAGAATTACATATTTTTATTCCCGAAAGGCTAAATTTCACTATTGGTCCCTCAAGTACACGCCGACCATCTAGATGTGGTTCTTTTGATATTAAACGTTAAAAACTAAATAGAGTACTAGCTCCATATAATACGGAATGGTCGTACCTAGTGGAATTTACTCGTATTGTATGGAACTAGTTTTCTTTTTAGCTTTTAATATTTACTGTTAAAAGAACATCATCTGGAGGACTGGCGTATATTTGAAGGACTACTTGTAGATTTTTGAAACGCGAAGGATCAATCATGCATAACTCATAAAGTTGAAGGACTATTCATGGACTTTTGAAACTTGAAGGATCAATCATGTATAATTCATAAAGTTGAAGGGCCAATGACGGATTTTAGCCTTCTCGAAATAGGAATTAAAATGCATTTACATTACCAATGATGACCATGTACATCACCAAAAAATATAGTAAAATGGTAATGTTCTATATTAATTACCACAGTATAAATTCATATTTAAGAAAAAAACATGAAACTCCTATTTTGGTATGTCATCTATGTTTTACTCATATTTAGGATGATTTCTATCTTTTCAAATGCATGTTTCATTGAATAAATCGAAAGGTGTGACTATTTGGAGTTATGTTATCGTGATTTTAAGATCCACGAGTGAAATGTGGACCTCCTCACATATTTTACATAGACTCATAATTGGATTATTTTTTTTATACAAAGCCAAATACATATAATCATTTTATGTATTGAGGTCTATTTAAAGAACATGGATCTAAGGGCACTGGAATGACCATGCGTCCATGCTTCAAATTGAACCTTCAAATCACCTCTCTTGATACCGGTCCAACATTGGAATTGAGGTAACCTAATATCGTTCTTGTTCTAACTCAGGTAAGGTTTTTGTTTAGAAAACAATAAATCTTTATCATACCAATATTTATTCCTAAAGAATATAATTTTGTGGTTGATGAAAGAGTTTTAGTGTTGGTAACTTTCCAACATGGGTCAATTTATTCTCGTATCGAATTCACATGTATTGGTACGAAATAAAATTTTTATTAGAACTAGTTAGGAAAAGTTTACTTATTGATATCAAAAGTTTTTTAAATTCAAATTTGATTGATTGGATTAAGCAGAATAACAATTTGATTTGATTGATAATTGATGAAAAGGGAATATGAATTGATTTCAGGTAATGAGAATTTATATCAAAACACAATGTATTTTTTTGCATATAGAGTTCAAAGCCTATATACTTTGGCTAAGAAAAGTAAAATGAGAAGATTAAGTCAAGACAAAGGTGGTATATATTTAAAAATAATATAAAAATAATAGGAGTAAAAATATTTTTATTCTCAAAATAGGGATTACAATGTCAATAATGTCAACATATAATAACAAAAAATACTATAAAATATCAATACACATTATCATATTGCCACAGTACAAACTCAGAGTAAAAGCATGGCATCCCTATGTTAGGGATAAATGCTATGTTTTATTCCTATTTTAGGTAATTTCTTTAGGGTAATTTACCTAAACACGACTAAAACATAATGACTTTCTCAATATAGGAGCATATGTTTTTATTTCCCAATTAATGTAGAACCATTGGTCATTATCTATTAGTCATTGTTTAACTAAATGTCCAGCATCACTTGGACATTATTCTTCTCACTAGTCATTATTAACTCCTATTTAGGAAATAAAAGAGTTTAAGTCTTACATTGGGAAATGACTTATATATGTTTTAGTCCTATTTAGTACAAATTTCACTTATTTTTTGAACGGTGCTGCGTAAATAAGAAAACAAGATAAATGAAATTTGATCATGAAAATAATGGGCGAGAAGAAAATTTCTGGATAGAGGAATATAAATAACAAATGAGATGGAAAATGCAAAACTCAATCCGTCCAAAAAAGAACTACATTTCTCACTATTTAATTGTAAATTTTTTTGGTCATTTAAGCATTTAGATTGATTATTTAATAAAATAAAATATTTTTGTTATCTCTTGTTTTGTAGAACTTTTGACATAATTTTTAAATTTTCTCTCCATTCTCAAAAACACTTCTTCTTTCAAATTTCCCACTTCAAACAAAACACTTTAATTTCACTTTCTATTAAAAAACTATTTTTACCCTTAATGTTTTATACCTACTTATCTCATTATACTTTTTTCTAATAATTTATCCATTACATCTTACTTTTACGTATCACATCAAAGACAAATATGAAAGTTAACTAGAATTTAACACTTCTTTATTTTTATACTTGGTCAAAATTGGAACTCTTTTTTAGAATAGAGAGAGTATGTAAGTTTAATTTTTTATTTCTGTACTAATTTTTAAATTAAATAAACGAAAGAAACTTGAAATTTCAATTCATTTTGCACAGAGTGTAAAACATTTTAGGACGGAAAAAGTACAAAAGAAAGTATATTAAAAAATAGCTAACTCGTTTTCACTGAACACAAATTTATTTAGGGTATGTAAAGTTAAATGTGTTGGGAAAAAAGAAAAGAAAAAATAACTAACATGCATTCGCTGAACACAAGTTCAATTAGAAATATTTTGGTATAACTAAATCGTGTTCTGTGAACTTGTAATTCACTAAAAAGAATCTGAAAGTATCATTGCCGGTAACTGCTCCAAAGAATTATGGACAGTTGGAATTTGCCGGCAACGTGGTGGATAAATAGTAAATTTTGGCCATTTTCTTTCAGTCTCTTTTCTAAGTTAAAAAAGATTAAGTTATTTGTACTCCAAGATTTTTACTTCAAATTATACATCATAGTTGTGTACCTTCATTTTGTGTTAGTGTGATGTTAAGGTGATGGTTCACATAGGTATAAAATGTTAGTGCAAACTTTTTTATGACACTAATATTTTATGTCAGTGTCAACTATCAAAATGTTAATATATATTTTTGGTGTAATTTTGGGATACACTTCTTCTATACTTGTAGCATGGTTGAAGTTAAGCAATAGAAAAGAGGGAAATGTGTTCATGCCTGTTTGGGAAGAAGAACCCAAATAGGACTAAAAGAATGCATTTTATCAAAATAAGACTTCTTCAAATAAAAGATTTTGCTAGGACTAAATATGTGACCCTCTTCAATTTGCCCCTAAAGATAATAATTGCTCCTCCACGAGTGTCACACTATTAACTCCGCCGCCACACTGCCAACATCGTCACCGCCACACTGCAACCACTGCCTCGCCACACTGCCAACTCCTCCACTACACTCCCAACTCCGCCACTACAGTGCCAAACTTTACCACCACATTGCCACCATTGTCACCGTCTGTACACTACCAACTCTGCCACCTCACTATCAAACTCTACTACCACAGAGCCACCACCATTGCCGCCACACTACCAAACTTTGCCACCACACTGCCAAGCCCACCGTTACATTGCCACACTTCACCACAACATTGTCACCACTATCGACGCCACACTGCCAAACTCCACCACCATAATGTCGCCACTATTGCCGCCATACTACCCAATTTTGCCACCATATTATCAAGTCCACCGACATAGTATCACACTCTGCCGCCACACTACCATCACCAGCATCGCATGGAGCAACCACTCTTGAAAATGTTCACCCCTCTTAAGTTCACATGAAGCCTCATAATCCGATCCAAAACATCAAACCATTATTATTGTAGAGCGTCTCAATAAATGAAAGGTTTAAAATAAATGGATGAATAACATATAAGTACTCGACTCAGAAGAATTCCAAAAAGAAGAAACCAATGTAGTTTGTGGCAGAGAATTCAAAGAGAGCGCAAAGGTAAAATAGAAGTATTTTACGGAGTACAAGGTTCACTCCTACGGACCGAAATATAGATGTCACTCATATGGCTATGTTGGGCTTTAATCTTCTTTTTATTCCTATTCAAAGTGATTTCACTTCTAGATATTGATTTTTAAATTTAAGTGTGTAAAACTCCATCCTTCATAAAATGATCTTCCTAGTTCGGTTTATGAAGTTTGAATGAAATTATTTTAAATTTAATTTATTTTATTATAAGTTTAAAATTAAAAAATAAAAATTACTCACTCCGCTCCTAAAAGATTGCAACAGTGAATTTTTTTGTCAAATTGTGACACTCTTTGACAACGAATTAAATATATTTTAAAATAATTAAATATTATAGAAAATTGATACTTCAAAATTATATTTTGAAATAAATTCAACTTTACTAAATTTACATTGTAACTAAATTTACTAAATTTACATTGTAATAATTGACGGTCAAAGGATGCACAATTTGACCAAAAAGCCAAACTATAACAATCTTTTATGAACGGAAGGATTAATATATTTTAAAACTACATTAAAAATTTTATAAAATAAGAGGTAATATAAGTATATTATTTTATCAAATTATTAACGAAAATAACTTAGAAAATAATTAAAATTTAGCTTGGTAAATACCTAGTGAATACTACCTCCGTCCCACTATATTCGTCCAGTTTTGACTTTTGGAACTGTTCATCTAAGCACTTTGACTCATCAAATTCTCTCAATATGTAAGCCTAAATATAGTCATGTGTGATCTTGTTTGATTTGTCTTAACATATAGATTATTAATATATAATTTCTATAATTTTTTAATATACAAATTACAAGATAAAATGGATTAAAGAAGTGTATTGGATGGTGTGTAAAAATGAAAGTGGACAAATACTCTGGGACGGATGGAGTATCATTTAGATTTTAGAACAAAGAGAATATTTTAATGGTATGTTTGGGAACATGAATTTGGATTTCAAATCCGGATTTGGCTTAAATTCCATGTTTGGGAAACTTAAGCATTTTGAATTTGGATTTGAATCAAATTCTTTACATTCAAAACAAAGCTTAATTTGAAATCCATACACCTCCCCTTGTCATTTGAAATTCAAGATTTCAAATTTTGGAATTGAAATGTATGAATTGAAATGAAATGTTAATTGCCAAACACTACCTAAAAGAATTCCTCCTTCCTTATTTTTAGGCAGACACATCAAAAGTGTTCGATACAAATAGAAAGAGGGGTGAGGCGAGGAATGCGCCGCAATGATCGGGCGATTGGCAAACACTTTGAGCGAAAAAGCGGGAAAGAGGTGCAGTGCATTTCACGCCACGATTACCTGCACTGTACTCCGCCTTAGAGAACGCCATCGATCCGCTCCTCCCGCGGCCTATATAATTCATTTCTCCCCCCATCCTCTCGATCATCATTCTTCTTCAGTCGCTACTCTGTTATTGAGCTTTCGTCTTCCTCGATCTCTCTAGCTAGAAAATGGCTTCCGCGGATGTGGTTCAGTACAGGTGTTTCGCCGGTGGCTTGTCCTTCCAAACCACTGAATCTGGCCTGAGAAATGCTTTCTCGGCGCACGGCGATGTTACCGATTGCAAGGTCCGTCGGGGAGGCAGATCGAGCGGTGGTCGTATACGATCCGACTCCATCGATCTCTCTCTCTCTCTGCCACTTATACTTCAATTCTCTGTTACTTGATCTTCTCTCTTCTCCCTCTGTTGCTTGAATTGCTTCGATTCCTTCCTGTTTGTTACTGTTATTGATCTTAATCATCGGTATGATGCTAATATTGATTTCCTTTTGATTATTACCAATTATAACTGCAGTGGATGACCGGATCTGACGCGTTTGTTTTCGAATTTGTTGGTTGATCAGATTATCAACGATCGTGAAACTGGTAGATCTAGAGGATTTGGCTTTGTAACTTTCCTCAATGAAGACTCAATGAGAAATGCTATAGAGGCTTTGAATGGACAACAACTTGACGGCCGTAGTATTACGGTCAACGAGGCTCAAGATCGCGGAAGCGGCGGCGGAGGCCGTGAAGGCGGTTACGGAAGAGGCGGCGGCGGTTATGGAAGAGGCGGCGGTTACAGAAGAGGCGGCTACAACAACAGCGGCTACGGCGAATCCCGCGGTTATGGAGGGGGCGAATCCGGTGGTTATGGAGGCAACGGATCCCGTGGTTATGGAGGGGGCGAATCCGGTGGTTATGGAGGCAACGGATCCCGTGGTTATGGAGGCAGCGACTACCGTGGTTACTCTAATGGAGGCGGCGATCACCGTGGTTACTCTAATGGCGGGGGTGCTTCCGATGAATCCGATTGGAGGAAATGAGCTCTGTTGGCCGGGTTGATATTGGTGGCGTATGTAATGCATGGTGCATATATATGTTACTGCCCTTCTGGGAGTTAGTTTCTGGCCTTTTGTATCTGATTTTCACTTGTTCCTTTCACTTTTGATTGCTCCTACTGCTGTTATTCATGTACCCCGTCCGTACTTGTCAGATCTGTATTCATGCTGTGATAATAACTGAAATGTTTCTTCAATTAACCACTCCCTCCCTCTCCCAATATTTGTAAACTTTCATTTTAGCACACAAACCAATGTAATGAGTAAAATGATACTCCCCCATCCGGAAATGATGTTCCCGGTTTGACTATTCCTCATTTTTAAGAGTGGTTGACTATGGAGAGGAATAGTCCAAAATACCCTTAATGAACACCCCAATTTCCGCTAAGCACCATTGCCAGCATCTCTTACCAGGCCGCCAGCCCCCCACCACAACCGTCGGTCCGTCGCTAGCTACCATCCCCCACCCCAATTTCCGCTACCCTTCACTACTCAACACCCCAATTTCCGCTAGCCACCATCTCCGGCATCTCTTACCACACCACCTTCTCTATCAATTCCCGGTCGCCGCCAACCCCCCCACCACAACCGTAGGTTCATCGCTCGCCGCCATCCCCCACAACCACGGCCAACCCCACCTTCTCCACCAACACCTACAGTGCCATCAACCTCCACCACAACCTCTTGTCGCTCCATCGCCGCCATCCCCCTCCATCGCAGATTTGGAAGAAAGAGAAGACCTGCGAGGAAGGGAAGAAGAAGAAGAAGAGGCGGAGGGCGATTCTGTCATAGATCTGTTTAGATCTAGAAGAAAAAGGAGAAAAAGGGGGATCTATGTGGATCGATGTGGAGGAGGATGAGAAGAATAGGAAGAGACGGAGGATAATGAGAAGAAGAGGAGTGGGATTTGTGTGGATGAGAAAAAGAGCAGGGGAAGAAAGAAGAAGGAGGAGGTTGAATCGGAGAAAGATAGAAGAAGAAGAATGAAAAAAGTGGAGAAAGAGAGGAAAAAGAGAAAGACAAGGAGAAGGTGATCCGAAGGAGAGACTGGAAGAAAAAAGAGAGAGAAAGAAAGGAGGTAGAGGGTAGTTTTGGAAGAATGATAAAAAATAAGTAGAATGGGAACATCATTTCCGGACAAAAAAAACGTACAATGGGAACATCATTTCCGGACGGAGGGAGTACAATTTCCCTTCAACTACCAAGCCTGTTCTGTTTGCCACCGAGCATCCCAAATTGTCGTCATCCCAATGTCTGCCACCACACAACTCACTCCGGCCAATTTCAATACTGGAAAATAAAACCAACCAGACCATCTAGAAAACAAAGTGGATTTAAATGACTGAAATCAGCTCATCATGGAGAAAACAAAATCTCGAATTCAAATCTAGAACAACATTAGGTCGAGATTTCAAAATATAAAAAAACTAAATTTCAATTGATGTCGATTTTGTAAAACCGGATTAGACATTAGGTCTAGATTTTGGGACGGAACAAAAAGCTCAATTTCGAAACAAATCAAACTTGGAAGAAAATCTCAGACAACACTTTTTAGATCCCGGCTTTGGGAAGATATCCAACAACCAAAGATCTAGATTTTAAAAAGAAATTGAACTCTGGCTTGCCGATGAAGACATCTGATATGGCCGTTGTCGGAGAATGTGTTGGAATTGTTTATGGAAGAACACTGCGAAGCAGTGTTAAAGAAGAACTCGATAGTATAACGAATCGCGTACGAAACGCTTTCAGATCAAAGTTATTTCGGGGTATACGAAATACTTCAATCGGATAAGACGTTAATCGACAACAAGCACTCGAAATCCGTCACTCAATCCATACCACGACACTCTATTTTATAGAGTCGAAAATTTTCATGATCGGACATGAACGTTCGCGTAGATGTACGCGTATGTTCGCGCGGGGAAGAAGAAAGGCACGAGTTTGAACGAAAGGTCTCCTGCGGTTTTTGGGTCTATTTCGACGTTATCCACTTGTTCGAGTCCTTTACCGTTTTGGACTCCGATCACGAAAATCTTAAGGATTTTCATAAAGAAATAACTTCTGAAATAAAAAATTTCCAAGCTGTCCGACCCCGGCTAGGGGCTCTTTCCCTTAGACCTCGCCAGGGGCCGCCGCCCCTTGGACCCCGCTACCTGGGGCTGCCGCCCCCAGACCCCCGTAGTGAATTTGTAATATCATTGAACGAGCGTGCACTCCGCGCCTCCTAACTCGTTTTACAACGTATATTTAAATTCTTTTCCGATCTAAGTAAATCCAATTACACAAATATAAACCGATGACACTAAAATTACCAACAGAAGGCATCAAACTCCGGCTACCATCCAACGATCAAGGAGAGAGAGAGAGAGAGAGAGAGAGAGAGAGAGAGAGAACTGATGAAGAAGAAGAGAATCAACAGACTCAAGAGAAGGGGAACAAAGAGGAAGAGACTGGATAGATAAGGTGCATACGGATGAGGACTGAAAATAAGCTTAGAATACGGATGAGCAAGAGAATAAATGGTGAGGGCAAAATGGATATTTCATATTATTTTTCTTACCTTAATAGGAAAGTGGACAAATACTGTGGGACAACCCAAAAAGGAATACTGGACGAATACTGAGGGACGGAGGGAGTATTTGGAATGCTTAAACTCTTAATCTTTAATTTACTCCGTTTGGAAAAACATTTCTGCCTAATTTTATCCGCACGTCATAAAATACTTTTACTTCTACTTAAAATATCTAAAATACATTATATTCCATTATTTGGTTTATTGCAGATAGAAGCTGTTTTGGAGGTATTTTAGACATTTTAGGTAAAATAAAAGTATTGTATGAGGTGCGCAAAAAATTTGAGCGGAAGTGTTTTCAAGAATGGATGGAGTATTTTTTTTTAATTTTTCTAATTTTTCAAGGTTCTTCCTTTTTTTACTTTTTCTTATTTTTCTCATTTTCTTCAATCTTTTCCACCCTAAATAAGGACTCTAAAAATGATGTGTTTTTCATGTATTATTATTAATTATTATTACTAGTTTACTACTATTATTGTTGTTATTATTTATACGTTCATTTTTTATTTTTAAATTTTTATATTAGAAGAACTTTCTAGATAAAAAGTAAAAAAACTATTAAAATACCACAACATGAATCATAAGTCTTTTCCTAAGTGTTTTGCTCCAAGATACAAGGAGTCAACCAAAGTCATTTCGAACAAGGATAGTACAAGAATTATCCAAAAGAGTCGGATTAAGGTTTTGTGGTACCTTCCAATTGATAGAAGGCCTAGGGTTTGAGAGAATAACCATGCTCCGATACCATGATAGAATATAGACGAACAATATATTTCACAGTCATAGAATGAATACAATACAGAGTATTTATAGGAGTAAGTCCTATATAGACTAGGAATAGGAAAATAGAAGCTGACTAGAATACAACGACTACTATAATAATTAAAGCTACCACAACTAGGAGTACTATGACTGTCTAACACCAATAATACCTTGCTGATGTCCCGCAGTGGAAGATGATTGACTACACATTTCCCAAGTTTAGGAACGAGGGGAGGAACCTTCAATTGAGATTGTGTAATGATGGAATTAATCCTTTTGGGAGCTTGAGTATGCAACATAGTATAATACATTGCTTGAATAATATGTTATGTTGCTTGGATAATACAAGAGATCCATCTCCCCTTATGTATACAAAGGAGGGATATAATCATATAAACAAGAAAATAAGAACAATAAGGAATCCTATATAATTAAGGAATACTAAATATAAATGATATTTCGTATTAAATACTCTATCCATCCCAAAAACTCTACCGCCTTTCTTTTTTACTTGTCCTGCAAAATCCTTCCCATTATTATTAAAAAATCACTTCTACCCCAACTAATTCTAAACCTACCTATCAAAGCATACCGTTTTACTAATAATATACACATTACATTTTACTTTTACCCATCACATCAAAGGTATTTTTAGAAAGTCAATATAAAAAACTTCTTCCTTAAATTTCCTAAAAGTGAAAATAGAAACATCTTTTTGGGATGGAGAAAGTACATTAAGTATTTAATAATAATCCACGAAGAAGAAGAAGATGGTGATGATCTCATGATGGTGAAGAAACTAACGGAGCAAGTAGCAAACGGAAGAATGGTTGAAAAGTCCCTCGGTCGTAAGTTTTTAGAAATTTTAAGATACTCCGTAATATATTTTAAGGGCAATGGAAACGGGTGTGACGCCCACCGGCATCAACCCTACTTTTAACGCCAAGGGGCGTTAAACACCGCCCCCTAGGGCGTGAAACGGGCTTCATCGTTTCGGCGTCAGATGTTTGACGCAGCCCCTCCCCCTTTTAACGGCTAAAATAGCCGTTGCAATAATAAAAAAATTAATTATTTTTTTTATAAATTCGAAACTCCATCTCCTCCAATTTTCACACCTTTCAATCTCCAATTCACACACCTATCAATCTTCTTCACATTTTCTTCAATTCTCCAATTCTCCAACTCTCTTTTCAACATGAATTCTTCCGGCTCTGGCTTCTTCCCCAACGATCTCGAGCCTAACGCGCACGCCATGTGGTATTTCCAACAATTCAGGAGTAATCCGTCAATGTTTGAGACGCAACCATCGGGGTACGTCTATGAGCGAGAGTTGGTTTTGGAGACTCAACCAGGACTATCCGGCACCAAAAAAGTGCACGCCGGAAGAGCCACAAAGCGAAAGGCACGATGACTGAGGCGGCACGGTCAGTCCAAAAGTGGACGCCGGAGGAAGAGTGCTTGTTAGCGTAGGCATGGGTTGACGTCTTTGAGCATCCTATCGTTGGTAAAAACTATATATTTTCTAATATATATATGTTTTTATTTATATAAAATTATATATAATTGTGTTATAAAAAAATTGGTCTTATACTTTTTTAAAGGTTCGGAGCAAACGAAGGATGCGATGTGAGATCGTATCGAGGAGAAGTTCTTCACGGTGATGAACAAGGACGGCTCCTACCGTACCCGGGACCAACTCACTTCCAAATGGAGCCACATCAACCGTAAAGTCCGAAAGTTTATCGGAGTTTACGAGGAATGTGCCCGATCCCGGAGGAGCGAGACAAACGATACTGATGTTCTTTGGCTTGCCACGGCCCGATATTAAGATGACAGACACCAAGGCAAGGTGCTCATCGATCTTTGGAGGATTTTGAGCCGTTCACCGAAGTGGCAACAACTCAAGAATTACAACGGCGGATCGTCAAAGAAAAGATCCTCCGTCGATGTCAAGGTTGAGGTCGATGACACTATCGGTTGGTACGAACAAAGGCCTCCCTTCAACGTTGCGGATTCCGATGACGATGACCTCATTCCATGGCCGATCCGAAGAAAGAAGGCAAAATCCATTGCCTCGGGTTCTGGAGCGTCCGGCTCTGTTTCCGTTTTTTCTCGTGACGAAATCGGTCGAGCAATGATTGAACAACTTCGGGTGTTCAATATTCGAGAAGAAGAGAGGATGAAGTGAAAGGAAGAGAAGGACGAGATCGAAATCATGGAAACCGACCTTTCTACGTTATTGGCCTTCAAACATATGATCTTCGAGAGAAGTCAAAAAAAGATCAAGACCAAATACGGAGTATAATTTACGTTAGTTTTTTTATTAATGTATTTTTTTTATTATTGTCGCTTTCTTTTTTAAATTTAATGAATGTAATTTTTTAAAATTATTATCGTTTCAATTTCTTTAAATTTAATGAATGTAATTTTTTTTAATTATTCTTGTTTCAATATAATTAAATAATAAAATAATTAAATTTTATTAATTTAGTTTTAGAAGATGTATATTTAAAAATGTAAAAAATGAAGGTTTGAAGCCTCCGTTTGAAGTCCCGGGGCTTCAAACTCATTTATACTGAATCTTGTGAGGTAAGTTAAAGCTGACGTGACAGAGAGAGAAATTTTGAAGTCCCAGAACTTCACGGGTATTTCCAGTGCTCTAAAAAGTAAAGGTAAGCTATATTATTATCTCAAAATAGAGGGAGAGAGGAGCAATTTTTTGAATTTTCTGGCTTGAGTGACTGAGTGGTCTAATTAAACATTTAAACCTATTCCGGTCTTTTCAGATGTAAAGCCAATCTTCCCTGGTAAACCCATAGGCTGATTTTGCTCCATCGCCTAACTCGCACCCTGTTCACCCGCTTGGTGTGTCGGAGATGGCGGCATCGGCCATTGCAACCCTTCCAAGAGTATCAATTTCCTCAATCAATCAGACAACGTCGCTTCGCACTTCGTCTTCTCTGTTCTCCGGCAGGCAATTTTACTGTTTTCTGCTCCTAATTAGCGTTTCCTTCTCCTTCTCTTATTTCGTTTGAATTCTAAAACTACAAAAATATCTGAATGCTATCTTCGTATTTAGAAGGTTTGGCGGAAACACAACGTCTGCACTTCCTAATCGCAGTTTTTGTCCATCCACAATCGGTGCGTTCAAAGTTCTATATGCTCTCAGTACTTGCTGAAATCTGTTCCCAAACTAGCTAGCTCGAACTTTAATAGTTTTATCAAGTGATCATTTATCCTAAAATCTTCAGGACTATCCAGTAGGGTGCAAGGGTTGCACTTAAAACTAGACCAGAACAACATTAGTGCTGTCATCAATCAAGGGTTTGATCTCTTAGCCTTATACATGGATGGTCATGATATTTGAAATGATGTTCTGTCTGTATCAAGATGGGTGGCTGAGCGTTTGGTCGTTCTGTATCATACATTTTCCATTAAACTTCATATTCTTTACTATGCTTATATAGCTATATACTTCCTCCGTTTGGAGTTAGTTTTCCACTTTCCCATATTTGTATGTTCAAAAGTAGTTGTCCGTTTTTCATGTTTACTGCAAATTATGATAAATCATCTAAAACACCATCTAGACATCATATTAGCATTGTTGACAACATTGAATGAATGATAAATTCATTTCAAGGACTTATTTATGTTTTACACTTGCTCTTTAAAATTGAGATACTTTGGATAGTGGAGAACTAAATCTAGACGAGAAGAGTGTTTAGTACTCCCCCTCCATCCCTAAAAGAAGTTCTTTTTTTCACTTCCATGAATGGGCTTGGACCCTTTGGTTATGTGGTTGAGAGTACTTCCACTATCTATATTTGGTAGGAGGTCGAGTAAGGTCAATTTAGGTATGCAAATGAAGGTAAGTGGAGGCATATAGTTTGAGGTGGGGTTAGGACTTAGGAGCTAATGTTTTTTAAAAAAGTGTTCAACTCTATGAGGTAAATGAAGATAGGCATATATAAAAAAAACATTTGGACGATGAAAACTAAGATAAGAAATCATATGCACATGACCTCAAGTCCTTAACAGCTTCTTCTCTCCACACAAACATAGGAAGATGCTCAAAATGAAAAAAATAATAATTAATTGAAGACTGAAAATGCTGGTATATGTGTTAGATAACAAAGATAATAGAAGGAATTTGTTTTTATTGTCCTAAGGGAAGCACGATTCCAGATGGGATTCAATCATGCTTTCTACTCTGTATTGTTTACATCATTTAGCCTACTCAAACTCAAATTCATAAATTTCTGTCATTCAGCCAATTTTTACCCCACCAAACAGGTTCATTATGCATAGGTTACGTTTCTAATGTCAATAAAAACCAGCAAAGGTTTGTACTTTTGAGTAGAAATACTAAATTCTCAAAAAGAAAATGAAATCAGACATCACTAGTCATTAATTTCCAAAACAGCATGAAGGAAATAAAAGAACTGGAGGTTTAGACGATTATTGGGTAAAATTGAAAGAGTCCCTAGTTTCATCTTGGGTTCTAGGGAGAGGGCACATTGTGCGTCGGGCGCTGTTGAAGAATTAGTTGATGTAGCTGAAGAAGGGATGGAAGTAAAATCCACTGTATTCGTAATCAAGTCCAAATCACCACCATCATTCCACTAGAATAATATGGGCAGAGGGCAATCACAGAATTGTAGGTGGAAAATGGAAAAAGAGTTTTCAAGTATTTGGAAGAGCTACTTTCCTTGTTCCCTCACATGTCCGTGGAATTGGTGGTGAAGAAAATGAATTGAGTAGGAGGTAGTGAGAAGTAAACTCTACCTCAACCTACTTAGGTCTCCCTCAGTTGTCAGGTAATAAGAAGTAAAAAGTAAAACTCACCTTCACCAACCTCATCTTACCTCCCCCCCAAAATACCCTTATTGAATATATTAAACGAATGGTAGTAAAGGCTGTAAAGTAAAACTTTTACCAATACAACAACAAAGCCTTATTCCATTAGGTCGGGTCGGCTACATGGATCAAACAACGCCATTGCGCCCTATCATGTATCTGCTGTGAGATCATTCACGCGATGGTCCCCTTTGATCACTTCTTGACATGTCTTCTTAGGTCTACCTCTGCTTCTAGCCACATGTCTATTCACCATTTGATCAATCCTTCTCACCAGATGCTCTATTGGTTATCTATCCACACGTCCGAACCACCTAAGACGAGTTTCTACAATCTTTTCTACAACAGGGGCCACTCCAACTTTAGCTCTCATATCTTCATTCCTTATTCTATTCATACGTGTATGATCGCTCATCCAACAAAGCTTCTTTCGTTTTTGCCACACTAACCTTGTGTTCATGGTCACCCTTTTCTGCCCAACACTTTGTTTTATACAATATAGCTGGTCTAATCGCAGTACGACAAAATTTTTCCTTTAGCTTAAAGGTATTTTTTTGTCACATATAAAGCCCGAAACACCACCTTTTTGACCAACCGGCTTTAGTCATGTAGTTAATATCAGCCTCTATTTCTCCATTTTCTTGGTTGATACACCCAAGATATTTAAATCTCTTTACTTGTGGTATAGTATTTTCTCTGACTTTCACCATTTTGACCAACCAACTTTAATCATGTGGTTAATATCATCCTTTATTTCTCCATTTTCTCGAATGATACACCCAATATTTTTTATTAGCGTTAACGTTTTGGATAAAATTGTAATGGTGGAAATTAATTCTGAAGATGCTAACGCTAAAGGCTACCAACAAATAGTCTTTTCAAAATGCCAACGCTAATCTCTAATGTTGATGCCAAACGGGTCCACTATTTCCTTCCGTTGCCAATCTTGCACACCATATATTCTGTATTTATGTTCCAGTGCAACTTGTACGCAAGCCATGCAGCTCTAAAGCCCGTCTCTACGAATCTAACTTTCTATTCAAATCCTCTTGTGATTCCCCCGTAAGGATGATGTCATCGGCAAAAAGCATGCACTGTGGTGTGGTACGGGTTCTTGGATATGTTTGGTAAGAACGTCCAATTCTAGTGTAAAAAGATATGAGCTTAATAATGACCCTTGGTGTAATCCTACACCAATGGGGACTTTTATTTCTCACGCTCGTTGTAGCACCATCGTACTTGTCCTTAATCGCACAACTATCACACAAATATATGCAATCCTTACTCTTTTTTTTTATCTAAAACCTTCCACAAAACTTATCTTGGTACACCGTCATATGCCTTTTCCAAATCAATAAAAGCCACATGTAAATCTTTCTTCTCACTTAGGTACCTCTCCATAGTCCATCATTTTGCTCACCAAATATATACCCTTGGTAGTTGGTTCTCTAATACCGGAGTCTCTTGTATCAACCTTCGTTCAACCACTCTTTCCCACAACTTCATTGTATGACTCATGAGCTTGATCCTTCTGTAGTTTCCACAACTTTGAATATTCCCTTATTCTTGTTAAAAAGGACCAAAGTGCTCTTCCTCCATTCGTTAGGCATCTTCTTAGATCTTACGAGTATAATCTTGTTAAAAAGCTTAGTCACCAAATGTATTTTCCTCCTAAACCTTTCCAAACTCCAATCGAGATGTTGTCTGTGCCCACTGCTCTGCCATTCTTCATCCATTTTAGGGCCTCGTTAACTTCAATTTCTCAAATTTTCCAATAATAATTGAAGTTTATCGCCTCCTCCCTTGCATGTAGCCAATCGGAGCATGAGAGTTTTGCATGCCCCTCATTAAACAAATCATTGAAGTAGCTCTTCCAGCACGTGTTTATCCTTTCATCGGAGACAAAAATTCCACCATTCTTATCTTTAATGCACTTAACTTGGTCCAAATCCCGCATTCTTCCTTCTCGACCCTAAGGAAAGAAAATTGTACCAATAAAGACAGAAAATTTACTGTATGTAGGGTGACCATAAATGAAAACATGAACTTCATTAGATGAGTGAGTGATATGAAAGACCATGTCATATAAGACGAATAAGTAGCTTAAGACTGACAAATCACAGAACACATTTCCTCTAAGAAATTCAGCAGATCCTGTCATTTTAGATGGACTCTGACTATTGCTTGATGTGGTTTTTTTTATTTTTTACCTGAAAAAAACTAAATTTAAGATACATTTTTTGATGGGTTTTGCTTTATCTTTTAGATTTATGTTTAGTTTTCCTGTTAGAGCTAGAGATATTAATTCTCGAACACATCAAAATAATACTAGGTAAAAAAACATATTAAAATAAGAATATATAAATTCCCTCATGTCAAAAAGTTTTTACGAGCAGTTATGATACCATTGAAGCTGGAAAGGGCAATCCAACCATAATGCCGGCAGTGCCGACACCAAGTGGCCTTTTGGATCTGTCAACCATACTACTTAGAAATCGCATTGTGTTCATTGGGCAACCAGTAAACTCACAAGTTGCCCAAAGAGTCATTTCACAACTTGTGACACTTGCAACAATCGATGAAAATGCCGATATTCTGGTAGGACAGTTTTATGCACACAAATTTGTAATTTCTAATTTCTAAAGTAGAATAATATCTTACAAGCATTGTCACGCTGTTTCCAATTGCAGATATATCTTAACTGCCCAGGTGGGAGCATATATTCTGTGTTGGCAGTATATGACTGCATGTCCTGGGTAAGAATACTACGGTTTTATTCAATTTTCTTAGGCGTCTATAGGAAGTTACAACATGATTTGCTGATGACATCTCGATATTAGTGTATTTATTTTCTTACTGGAAGTTTTATTCCCGTGATACCCATGCTTGTAGCTATCGTTTGATTCAGATAAAGCCCAAGGTTGGCACAGTATGTTTTGGAGTAGCTGCAAGTCAAGGAACAATTCTTCTTGCTGGTGGGGAAAAGGGTATGCGGTATTCAATGCCAAATGCACGTATTATGATGCATCAACCACATAGTGGATGTGGGGTATGTACCAGTTATCTACGAGAGGATTGTTATAAACACTTGTACTGTTAGACGAATTGCATTAGGAAATTCAATATAAGAGTGGCTTTGGTTTGCATTTTCAAAAAGAGGTGATTCTGACTGATAGAATTAATAATTGGGTATGGATAACTGGATTGGGTAATAAGACACTTGGGTTAAACCGTATTAAAAGATTGAATCCAATCGATTAGTTAGTTCAACTCTAGAGCTTATATACCGATTATTTTACTTTTGGATTTCCGATGTGGGATGTACTCTAACACTCCCCCTCAAGTGGACAACCGGGCCATTTTGAATCTAACCGGTTGACCGCTTGCAAATGAACTCCCATTCCCTTGATTTTTTCTTTTGAGCGCCAACACCTAAAGGACCACGAGCCGTTGGGTATGGACTTCCAGAGGAGCAATCGTGTTAAACAGGCCACAGACCGTTGGGTACAACATCCATGCGGACAACTAGGCTAAAGACTAACGGGCCGCTAGGAATGAACGTCTAGACGGACACCTTGACAAACGAGGTGGGCTAAAACTGGCTCTGATACCATGTTAAAATTCCGGCGGGCCGAGAACAACGGATAGAGTGTCGGGTAAAATTAACCATTTGCATATAAAGTCGGGATCCACAATTCTAACCCAAAAGCTTAAGCTGATAGGTAGGGCTTCACCCTTCAATATATGCAAGTGATACTCATCTTTATTTTCCGATGTGGGAACGCCAACACTCCCCTGCAAGTGGTAACTAGCCTGGCCTGGTTAACACTTGGACAAACGGGTCTAGCATCTCAATCTCTTATAGCTAGCCCACACAACTGGCGGTGGCATCTCAATCTCTTTTTAGCCAACTCAGCCCAAACAACATACGGGTAGCACATTTTTGCTAAACCCACAACAAACAACCAGGAACAATCAAACCCGGACCGGACCTGCCCTGATACCATGATAGAATTAATAATTGGGTATGGATAACTGGATTGGGTAATAAGACACTTGGGTTAAACCACATTAAAAGATTGAATCCAATCGATTAGTTAGTTCAACTTTAGAGCTTATATACCGATTATTTTACTTTTGGATTTCTGATGTGGGATGTACTCTAACACTGACCATCACAAAACTGGTGCTAATCATGGGGTTAGCAATCACGGATTTAAGTGATTTCCAAGATCTCATTTTTGCTAAAATACAAACCAAATGGAAGGATGATTCCGATTCTAAAACCAACAACACCACCCCACAAATGCAAACCATATACACCCATAAACTACTTCCTCACGTACTTTTTGAAGTTCCTACTTTGACTTGCGTGGCTTTTAATGGAGTATCATTTTTTTGCCTTTTATTTCCATGTTGTTACAGGCGTGATTGTTTTATTATTATTATTATTATTATTATTATTATTATTATTATTATTATTAGTTTGAACTAGTAGTATCGATAGTGATATTTTCCTATCAGTAGTAGTACTTTATTTTAGGTAGTATTCCTATTAGTATTAGTTCACCAAGACTGTTGGTAGTAGTATAAATAGAGGGGATATATTCATTAATAAAATCATCAATAGTTTTGAAGTCGATTCATGCATTTCTCGGCAAAGCCAAGCACGAACCCTACTCTGCCAAGAGCAAAAAATTCTTTACATCTTTGTTCCCCATGACGCCCGTTAGAAGTGCTTTCCCTTGTGATATGTGGTTGAGAATAATTAATAGTGAAAGGTGGAGATGTTAATTGAGGGTAGTCAAGTACTGTGTAGTTCTTTTACTTTTACCAAAAGATGACTCATGACTCTCTCTATTCAGCGACGTTCTAAACAGGAAAACAGGAACTATGTTTAGGGACGGAGTAATTTTAAACGAAGGTTAGGTCTTAAATGTTTGGCATTCAAAGCAGATGCATGATTTTGTTTTTTTTAATTGTTGCAGGGTCATGTGGAAGATGTGAAGCGCCAAGTGAATGAAGCTGTTCAATCTCGCCATGTCAGTTCTTTTGACATCTCTAAGCCTTTTGAATTTGACGCTTCAACTCAATTTCTTACTAACCCTGCACCTTTTCTCCTCCCCACAGAAAATTGACAAAATGTATGCCGCCTTTACTGGCCAACCACTTGAGAAAGTTCAACGGTACACCGAACGAGATTGTTTTTTATCTGCTTCAGAGGTAACATTACCGAGCATTCTATGCTTTTCTTTTTTTCCCTTCTACCTTAACCAATATCATTTGTTACCTTTTCCATTTGCTGCTTTCTTGACCCACCACCAAATCGCGCAGGCTATGGAGTTTGGTCTTATTGATGGGATATTAGAAACTGAATATTAAATGGTAAATAAGAAATTATTGATGAGTGCCGACTTTGTATGGAGCCGAGTCCAAACTCTACCCCCTGGCTAGCCATGTATTCTTCCTCTTCAAGTTTAACATGTTACACCCAACAAACAGTTCTACATATCTCTTCAAAGCTCTATGTGCCATAAGTAGACTTGTGTGTTCATTACTATTGTAAACTTGATAGTTTATGAGAATGGTACACTATATTTATGTGTAATTTTTTTAATTCTTAGTAGTAGTACTACTACTATTTATTATCAGTATTGTTGTCGTCTTTCTTCTTTATCTTAGGAGTATCACTATTTAAAAAGACCCATGACGATTTTTTTAAAGTTATCATTATATACTCTCTGGTACAAAGATAAAAGTAACATTTACTTTTTGGTTTGAAGGATGACCAGGGGTATGAAACTCAATAGAAGAGATTCACAGACCCAGGATCATAGGCCAGTTTCACTGAAGGTAAATAGCGATGTTGAGGCGACGAGATCTGAGAGCAAGGGTTGATAGTTTGGGTGGATGGGTTGCAATGGTAAATAGGATATTTAACACAATAATTTACTAAATAAGAAAATGAGAAGAAAATTTTCGGACGGTATAATTTTTTTATGATGAAATTCCAATAATTTTTCTTCTAATAATAAGAGTAATAATAATACTCGTCTGTTTAATTCTTATAAAATATCTTAAAAATTGACACGTGGAATTAGACAATGAGAATAAAGCAATGCATAACTAATGAGCTCGGGATATGCTAGGGGTACACTAAAGGTGTACTTCAAATGTACACCACCCCTCTCTTTACCATTCATTTTATTTTATTTTTAATTTTTTTTTGAATTTTTCTTACTTTTTTTTGTAGTGATGGAGGGGGTGGGGGATGTTTGGGCTACACTTTTGGTGTACCCCTAGCATTTTCCAATGAACTCTTTGCCCTTTAGAAATGACACCTTTTGAAAATGACACAATTGAAGAATGAATTAAGTTTATAATTTTATATAAGGAAATGATGTTATATACCCTTACATTACCATAACTTTTACTTGTTTATAAGTTTTCATTGTTCATTTGACAAAATAAAATATTTTTGTCATCTCTTTTTTTGTAAAACTTTTGATGTAGTATTTTAAATATATAGGTTGTAATTTTTATTTCAATAAAAATTTGTAAATAAGATAAATTTAAAAAAGATAAGATTTTCTATGTTTTTCAAAAAGGTAACAATTTTTGGACAGATTAAGTACATACTCCTTCCCTCCCATAATTATATTTTCCATATCTTTTTTGGGTCGTCTTAATTTTTCACTTTCCTTTTAAATACTCCATAATATATTATGTAGCCCATATATTTTTCTCTCCAAATCATTAAAAATTAGGTCAAGAAGAAGTAATTAATAGAATTTAGGATGTGGGAACGATCACTGGACTGGATGTCTGAATCATAAGTCACTTAAATTGAATCACATTAAATGTTGAATCCAATTAATTAGTTAATTCAACTCAAAAGCTTATATACCAATTATTTTACTTTTGAACTTCCGATGTAGGTTGCACTCTAACACTCCCCTCAAGTGAACAACATGCCATTTTGTATCTAACCGGTTGACCACTTGCAAATATACTCGCATCCCTAACGGACTGTTAGAAATGAACGTCTAGACAAACACCTTGACAAATAAAGTGGATTAAAACCGACTCCGATATCATAATAAAATTTAGGATGAGGTAAAGGTCACTAGAGTAGGCCATAAGACATTTTAGTTGAACCACATTAAAAGATTTAATCCAATGGATTAATTAATTTAACTTAAGAATTTATATACTCATTATTTTTATTCTTTGATCTACTCTGGGACTAACAAGTTTATCATACACAACGTTTTGAAGGGCCAAAAAGCAGCAAACAAAAGAAAGGAAAAAATTACTGCTGGGTACCCTATATTTTGTGATAAGAACTGCCAGGTCCCATTATTTTTTAAAATATACTCCGGGGTACCTTAAAATAACAAAAAAATTACTCCGGGGTGACATTCCGTCACTTTCTCGGTTAAACTCCAATTCTCCGTTAACTTTTCTTCTTCCCCCAATTTTGATCTTCTTCTTCTTTCTTCTTCTTCTTTCTTCTTTTTCTTCTTCTTCTTCTTCTTCTTCTTCTTCTTCTTCTCCTCCTCCTCCTCCTCCTCCACCTTCGGATCTCATCCCGCCCTCCACCCTCCCCTTTTCTCTTCTTCTAGTTTTGTTTTGTTTTAAATTTTTCTTCTTCTTATTCTATTATTATTATTTGTTATTAATTATTATTATTATTATTATTATTAAAATTAATTAGTATTTTTACCACTCTAATTTTTAAGAAAAATAGTGGAGTAGCACTTATTATTATAACTTCATATTTATTATTATTTTGTTCTTATTCTATTATTATTATTATTAATTACTCCATATTATTTTTATTTATAATTGTTAATAATATTATTAAAACTAATTATTAGTTTTACTTCATATTTATTATTATTTTCTTCTTATTCTATTATTATTATTATTATTATTATTAATTACTCCGTATTATTTTAATTAATAATTATTACTATTATTATTAAAAATCAATTATTCGTTTTACTATTCTTTTTTAAGAAAAATAACAATAATAATTACTATTTACTTCTTATACTTTTATTTTCTTCTATGTTTTTTACTTTGTATGCCCCGGCCCCATTGACCTTTTCCAATTTCTAATTTTTCACTTGCGTAAAAGTAGGTTAAAATATTTTTAAGCTTTAATTAAAAATTAATTTTCGTATGATATATTTATGTATAGTTTATAAAATTAAGATTATTTATTCACTTGGTTATAAATTATACGTCACAGTTCATAATCGCGGCTATCGATGACTACTGCGTGACTAATGTGAAAAACAACATCAAATGATAAAAAATTAGAATAGTGAAAGTACTAATAATTTTTTTAATAATGATAATATTAAGTTTAATTTTAAATAAAAAGTTTAATAATAATTATATATTAAAACAATAGTAGAAAAGTAAAATAATAAGAAGTAAATAATAATTAATACAAAGTAATAATAATAAGTACTATTATTTTTATAAAAAAGTATAGTAGTAAAATTACTAAATAATTGCTTTTAATAAATAGTACTATTAATAATTATAATTGTTTTTTATAATAAGTTATATTTTTCTAAATAACAATTAGTGTTATTTTTCTTAAAAAATAGTAAAACTAATAATTAGTTTTAATAATATTATTAAAAATTATAAATAGAAATAATATGTAGTAATTAATAATAATAATAATAATAATAGAATAAGGACAAAATAATAATAAATATGAAGTTATAATAATAAGTGCTACTCCACTATTTTTCTTAAAAATTAGAGTGGTAAAAACATGAATTAATTTTAATAATAATAATAATAATAATTAATAACAAATAATAATAGAATAAGAAGAAAACAAAATTAAAACAAAAAAAATAGAAGAAGAGAAAAGGGGAGGGTGGAGGGCAGAATGATATCCGAAGGTGGAGGAGGAGGAGGAGGAGGAGAAGAAGAAGAAGAAAGAAGAAGAAGAATATCGAAAATGGGGGAAGAAGAAAAGTTAACGGAGGATTGGAGTTTAACCGAGAAAGTGACGGAATGTCACCCCGGAGTAATTTTTTTGTTATTTTAAGGTACCTTGGAGTACATTTTAAAAAATAATGGGACCTGACAGTTCTTTTCACAAAATACAGGTTACCCAGCAGTAATTTTTTCCAAAAGAAAGGCCGGAAACTGGGAGCCTCCCTCACCTAAAAAAAGAAAAAGAAAAAAACGGGGAAGAAAACCGTTACAAGTTGGAAGTTTGGAACCAAAAAGATCTGGGGGAAGGCGCGCGATGTGTCCTCAGCCCGCAAACCGGCGAACGGCAACGAATCAATCAGGCCGCACCAAACCTCACGGCCGCCCCACCGCCATCTTCATCCCTCTCGGACGCTAGCTCCGCCATCTTCTATCTGCATTGGCGCAGACTATACGGACAATGGCGTTGGAACGGTTGATCCTGTTGTGAGACTTCGACATTTTTTCTCTCTCTCGAAATCCTTCTTCAATCGTTGTCATTTTGGCGTGGATCGTTGTTGGGAATGGAATCGTTGATCGAGCTATGTGATCTCGTAGCCGAGAACCCCACTCAGTTCGAAAATAAATTAGTTTGGATATGTAGCAGGTGCCCATCTGCGAAGGCACTCCTCGTCGGATCTCCCTGCGTTTCAAGGTCTCAGTTGAATGCCGTTCTCGCTCTGACTCGATTCCTCTCTAGATGCTCCCATTGCGAAGATGAGAGGCCGAAATCCCTAGCCGTTGCCTTTTATCGCACCATTCCTTCTTCTTTTACCTCGTCTTTTTGGCCACCGTCTTTCCGAATCGATGCAATCTCCTCATTCTACGATGATTTCTTAGGATATCTCTGCAAGGCATCTGAAAGATCTTCAGAGTTTGCTACAGATGTTGGGGGGTTCACGGGGGAGATAGTGACATCAGCCGTAGCCAATTTGAGCGAAGATGCGAGGATATCAAAGGTTTTCTTGAACTCCTTGGCTCGCAACTTTCCTCCTATAGTCCCCTCGGATGCAAATAAGTTAATTTCCACTCTGATTGAGAGATTTGAGATCCCTGTTTCAATCTCTCCAAGAGAAGCGCATTGTAGCAATGGAAGCAGTGGTGTTTGGAAGAGCAATGTGGAGTTGCTCACTGCAAATATGGGTTGCAATGATGATGGAAGCAGAACTGGTGCCCCCAGGCAAGCTATTGCTGCTTTTGAGGAGGAGCCTGTAGCGAGCCTCGAGAAACGAGAAGTGGCTTTCAAATTGATGGGACACATAATTGATAAAGTACAAATCGATGCCACGCTGTTGGAACAAGTGAGAGGCATTGTCAGGGAGCAACTGTATTCAATGGTGTCATTTCTAAAGGTAGAGTTCATGAATTATCTATTGCGTTCTTCACATTTGAAGTCTTTGTAAACGGAAGATGCATTTTTTTTAGAAAGAAATTCTTGAATGGTTGTTTTGTTGCAGATACGGAAAAGCGATTGGTCAGATCAAGGACAACATCTGAAAGTTAGGATCAATACAAAGCTTTCAGTTTATCAAGCAGCTTTATGGTTACAAATTAAAACCCTCCCATCTCTTGATTCAGATGGAAAGTCATCAAAGAGGTTTTTGCATGGAGCACTTGCACTGTTGATTGAAGCAGCTGAAGCATGTCTGTTGTCAATATGGAGAAAGTTAAGAGCTTGTGAAGACCTGTTCAGCTCATTGCTTTTTGGAATCTCTCAAGCTGCTACTGCTCGCAGTGGTCAGCTACTCCGTGTTTTGTTAATTCGATTTAAACCTCTTGTGCTTGCTACATGTGCTAGGGTATGCTGTTATTTTATTCATGCTGCCTTCACTAGTGATTTCACATCATAATATAACATTCCTGCTTTTATCATCTTTATCAACAGGCCGACACTTGGACCAACAGCCACGAGCCCATGTTTGAGAGTGTCGTGAAGACAAGTTGTGAGATAATTGAATTTGGATGGAAAAATGATCGGTCTCCTGTGGAAACTTTTATATTGGGCTTAGCAACAAGTATTCGTGAAAGAAACGACTATGAGGAAGGGGTAATGTAATATTCAACATAGACTTTTTTGAAGGGGGACAAACAATGATTTTTTTAAGGCAATTCTCCTCCCTTTATACTAAAACTATGTTTGGTTCAAGGAATTTGAAAGGGAAAAGAAAAGAAAAGAAAGTGGAAAACAGTTTTGTTGTTTGGTTAAAGGGGAAAAGAATGGAAAAGTGGAAGGAAAAGAAAATGAGAAGACAAAGTGTACCAAGTGGAGGGAAAACCAAATTCCTCCCATTTTAGTAAGGAAAATGAGAGAAAACCATTTTTTTTCTTTTGCTTCCAAATTCCTGAACCAAACATAGTGTAAAGGAACTTAACAATACTATAATGGTTGTTAGAGTATAAAGCCTTTCATTAGCATATAACCATCAACTTAAACTTTTGGTTGAGATTGAGTTAGTCCATTGACATGATATCAAATATTTGTTGACCTAGAAGTCATGAGTTCAATTTTCAGCTGCCCCCGTGTTGATATTGCAATAAAAACTTTACTAAGCTTCTAACTTTCAACTTCAGCTTTTAGTTGAGTTGTTTTCTTAACCATAGCCTAACTTTCAAAAGAGTTTATGTAAGATATGGGTATCTATTTTTTTCATTATGTACTTATATTTTACGAAGTATATATGTTTTTTTAGCTTCTGATGAATATGCACATACTATTTAAAGTATGTGGGGAAAAGTATGGGGAGGCTGCTCATTTTGCAGGATTATTGATTTATCTCTAGTTTCCAATGCGTGATTGATTTACATAAAGGTCTTGAATTGGAAACATATTGACTGCCTTTTGCTTCTTTTTTTTTAAACATAAATTTCTGTTATTTCATGCTTGCTATTCCTTATTTATGGCTTTATTATCAGCAAGAGAAGGAGAAACAGGCATCAGCTCCTGCAGTTCAACTCAATGTCATACGGCTGCTAGCTGAGCTGAATGTCTCAGTTAACAAGCCTGAAGTGGTAGACATGATTTTACCATTGTTTGTTGAAAGTTTAGAAGAGGGTGATGCTTCAATGCCAGGATTCCTAAGGCTCCGGGTACAAATCTATCTTTTCTGCTGTAAATTTCTATAGAGTACAACTGAGTATTTTTAAATTACAAGTCCAGCATTCATTAACATCTGCCTCAAATCTTTACCGGAGTATTTGTTTATTTATTGTTATCATTTTTTGGCATTTATTTCTCGAGTTACTGCAGCTTCTTGATGCTGTTTCTCGCATGGCAAGTTTGGGTTATGAAAAATCCTACCGAGAAGCTATTGTTCTGATGACACGGAGCTATATGAGTAAACTTGCTTCTATCGACTCTGCTGAATGTAATGACCTACCTGAAGAGGCCACAAAAGAACGTGTTGAAGTACGTCGCCTTTTGAACTCATATTATTAGTCGTCTAAAACATTTAAGACATTTTTGGTCTTATGTGGGTGCTTACATGTGCAATCACATTGTAGACGCTTCCTGCAGGATTTCTCCAGATTGCTAGTGGGCTCACCAACTGCAAATTGCGGTCAGATTATCGTCACCGCTTGCTCTCTTTGTGCTCAGATGTGGGTTTGGCCGCAGAGTCAAAGAGTGGAAGGTAAGAATCTGTTGGTGAAGAGTGGCTTTAAATTTGCATTAAAAAGCTAAGGAAACTTATCTTGTATAGGAGTGGAGCTGATTTTCTCGGGCCTTTACTTCCTGCTGTAGCTGAGATGTGTTCGGACTTTGATCCCACTTCAGAGATTGAACCCTCATTGCTGAAGTTGTTTAGGAATTTATGGTTCTACATTGCTCTCTTTGGATTATCTCCTCCACTATCAAAAAATCAAGGTCCATTGAAATCTGTGTCCACTGCTCAAAACTCTGTTGGAAATACAGGAGCAACTGTACAAGAAGTGGCTGGGACAGATGGGAATGCTCAATGGTCTTTTGCTGTTCAGCGCATTTCCCACGGGACCCCACCTCTTGTAAGTTAATTTGCATGAGGCTCCTAAAGTTTCTGTGTATTCTTTGATACAGTGGAAAAGAATTTGTTCTAGCTATTTATGTATGCAACAACTTTCATACTGTATAATACTATTTTTTTTGGTTTTGTTGTCATTTTTTTCTTTGATGATTGGTTTTTTTGTTGTTGTTTTTTCTCTCCCTTTGATTTCAATTTATATAATTTAAGAGATGGTTTAACAGCAAGCATTATATTTATAAGAGAAAAATCCTTCCAATTCAACAAAGCCATCTAAGCTAGTTAGAATCATCTAAACATGTTCTGTTTGTCCATCCTGCCCTTTCTTATTGCTAATTTGGTTGTAATATATGTACAGTTATTTTTTTGTCAACAAAGTTTTCCAAGTTTAATCTTCCATCAGGACTGTTTAAAAATAAACTCTAAATAAAATTCTCAAAATGTATGTCATATTTGTTTTTGAGCATGCCTGGATGTAGTTAAATTAGTGTGAGGCACAATACATCTCTCATACTGAGAAACAGAAACCTGTGCTAGGAAAAGGGGTTCTGGCCCAGAGGGGGAGAGAGGAAAATTTACAAATGAGATGAGTTGTCCCAATTATTTGTCTCATATGCCCTCATTTGTGCTTTAATTAAAAGTTATGTTGGTTCTTTGATACTGAGTGACTTTTTTGGCAGGTTGTGAGCTCTGTGAAGTGGCTTGAAGATGAGTTGGAGCTCAATGCTCTTCATAATCCAAATAGCCGAAGAGGAAGTGGAAATGAGAAAGATGCTCTGAATCAGAGGACTGCTCTTTCTGCTGCATTAGGTGGTCGTGTAGAGGTTTCAGCATTGACCACCATTTCAGGTTTTACTAATTTTTAAGTTGTGTTAAAAAGGAAATGCTTCAAACTTCTTTCATAGTTATTCTATCCCACTATGTTTTGTTTAGAGTCGTTGTTGAGCGTGCTGAGATGCTATATACTACCTCCGTCTCAGTGTATTTGTCCACTTTGACTTTTTTGAGTCAAACTAGACAAACTTTGAACTCCAATTACTCTTAATTTATATTACATATTAGCATAATGAAATACAATTTTGAAAGTTTTCAATACGATAAATCCAATAAGGTCATTTTTATGTTAAAATACGTTACGGTTTTTATTTAATTGAAGTTCAAAGTTTGTCAAGTTTGACTCGAAAAAGTCAAACTGGACAAATACACTGGGACGGAGGGAGTATGAATTTTTATGTTGCTTATGTAGGTGTGAAGACAACTTATCTACTTGCAGTAGCAATTTTAGAGATAATACGATTTAGTAGCAATGGAGGAATTCTCAATGTGGACCCTAGTTCAACTGCTTCTCGAAGTTCTTTTAGCTGTGTTTTTGAATACTTGAAAAGTCCTAATCTTATGCCAGCCGTTTCCCAGTGCTTGACAGCAATTGTGCACAGAGCTTTTGAAACTGCATTAGGATGGCTGGTATATGTTAGTCCATATGAGTTCTATGCTTCTATAATGCTTTGTTTTCTAACGTTTGGTGTGTGCACATACTTGTACCTTTGATATGCTTAAGTATGTGAGGCCATGAAATCACTTGTACAACGAGTTTATTAAGTACATTTTCTGATTGTGTTCAAGGTCTAATTTTTGAAGAACACTAGACATCAAGTATACTCCGTATACCGTTGCTAATCTGAATTTGCCCCAGAATATTTAAATTCATCCCAGACTTTATGTTTTTTAACTGAACATCACAGGGTTCCACCTTTGTGGCTGTAGCCACATTTCATGCGGTTATTTTTATGCATTTTATGTTCTATGGCAGTTCGGCTTGTGTTGATATGCATCTCACGCTAATAATACTTTAGCAATCTCTATATAATAAATAAATATCAACAATGGATAGGGATACATATTTGCAATTTTCATTCTAAATTGCTCATGAGTGGAAGAGTTGTTGCTAAGCTTTTTAGATTTTCATACTGCACCCTGTTTTTGGGGACATTGTCATATGGAAGTTATTAATACTCCCGCTGTCCAAAATTTCTTTCCCGGTTTGACTTGACACGGAGATTAAGAAAAGTTAAAAAGTGTAAAGACTTTCCATGTGTTGTCCTTGATGTGATGGAATAAAGTGAATAGTGTAGATAAAAAGTAGGGGTATAATGGCACATTCATTAAAAGTTTTTTGCCAAAATAGGAAATGGGAAAGGAATTTTCGGACAGCCCAAAAAGGAAAGTGAGAAAGAAATTAATGGACGGAGGGAGTATTACTTACTGATGGGGAAACAAATTAAAATATCATGCTGTTCCTTTTGATGTTAAAAAACATTACAGATGAGTAGGAACCAGTGCAGCACTAGCATTCACATTTGGAAACTACGTGTACCTCAAAGTCCACCAATTTTTGTTATGATGTATAATGAATAAATATTTTATGGCTTAATGCAAAGGGATGTATACTCCTAAACCCTTTAGATTACTTCTGCATTCTTGTTTGTAAACCTTTTTCAAACGAAACAACAACCCCATGTAGTCCCACAAGTGGGGTCTGTGGAGGTTTAGATGCACTCAGACCTTACCTCTACCTGTGATCTTTTAAAAAAAAAGTTTAATACAATTTTCAAAGATAATTGATTCTTGCAACATGCTGTAGGTGGACCGGACATCTGGGGCTGGGTATGATTCTGAGACTCGAGAATCTACTCTGTCTATCCATGCCTGTTTTCTCATTAAAAATTTAAGTCAGAGGGATGAGCATGTACGAGATATCTCACTAAATTTGTTGAATCAACTTAGGGACCGATTTCCACAGGTTCATTCCATCACTGCTTCCGTTTTTAATATGCTTACTACCTTGTTTTTTGGGTACTTAATACTTGCACATACTTTTATTCTGATGCAGATTTTATGGAACTCTTCTTGTCTGGATTCACTGCTAACATCTGTTCAGAATGATCCTTCTTCAGCTCTCGTTAATGACCCTGCTTGGGTTGCAACTGTTCGCTCTTTATGCCAAAAGACTGTTAGGGAATGGATAATTGTTTCTCTATCATATGCTCCATGCACTAGTCAGGGCCTTCTTCAGGAGAGGCTATGCACCACAAACACCTTGCAGAAAGCACAGCCTACTACAGATGTTGTCTCACTATTATCCGAGATCAAGATAGGTACGGGTAAAAATGATTGTTGGTCTGGCACAAAAACTGCAAATATTCCTGCTGTGATGGCTGCGGCAGCTGCAGCTTCTGGCGCCAATTTGAAATTGACTGAGGCATTTAACTTGGAGGTTCTAAGTACTGGTATAGTTAGTGCAACTGTAAAGTGTAACCATGCTGGTGAAATTGCCGGCATGAGACGTTTATATGACACCATTGGTGGGATTGATGCTATGACCATAGTTGGAAATGGACAGAGCCTTGATTTGCCAGCCTTGGGATCTGGAGCCATCTCTCAGAATCCACAGTTCAAAAATGGCTCTTTTTGTGAAGTTCTGCTTACAAGATTTGTGCGTCTACTCCAGAAATTTGTTAACACAGCAGAGAAAGGTGATGTGGTAGACAAGTCATCATTCCGAGAAACATGTTCTCAAGCGACAGCTTTGCTTCTTTCAGATATGGTAATTTTACTATTAATATCATGTTAGCTTTTGCTAATTCTTTTCATTAGAGAAACAACAATTTATCCCTCAGTGCTACTGTTGAACTTAATGGAATACCGTATTTTCAGGGATCAGATGCAAAATCAAATATTGATAGCTTTTCACAACTTTTACGTCTTCTTTGCTGGTGCCCAGCTTATATCTTAACACCTGATGCCATGGAGACTGGCATATTTACTTGGACGTGGCTGGTATCTGCCGCTCCTCAGTTTGGTCCTCTTATCCTTGCTGAATTGGTTGATGCATGGTTGTGGACTGTTGATACTAGACGAGGCCTATTTGCATCCAAAGCGCGAGCTTCTAGTCCTGCTGCTAAATTAAAGCCTCATCTGGCACATGGCGAGCCAGAATTGCTGCCTGAAAAGGACTATGTTGAACAGATAATGGCCCACAGGCTATGGCTTGGATATTTTATGGACCGCTTTGAGGTTTTATCTTTAGCTTCTGATCTTAGTTACTCGTGTTTATAGTGAAGTTATGGTACCCAAGTTACTATGATCCTATTTATTTTCATTCTTCTAGACACTATATTGGCATGATGCAATGCTACTGTCTAAATCCTAAATGAGATATTCAGTATAAACTAGATATTTTCACATATTTCATTTCCTTTTTGTTTGGGTGAATTACCCTTCCTTTTCATTAACTCGTGCTAAGGTAAAGATAAGAATCTTCTTGAACTTGTCTTATTGATCTGTTTACCTAACAACTGGTGATTCGTAATTCACCTAGGCTGTTAAACTCACGTTTTCTTTTTCTCATATCTGACCGCAGGTGGTTCGCCATGATAGCGTTCAGCAACTTCTACTACTTGGTCGGTTGTTACAAGGAACCACAAAGCTACCCTGGAACTTTTCTCGTCATCCATCAGCAACTGGAACCTTTTTCACTCTCATGCTTTTAGGACTAAAGTTTTGCTCTTCGAAATCCCAGGGTAGTCTACAGAACTTCAAGACCGGACTTCAGCTACTTGAAGACAGGATTTACAGGTAACCTGTAGGCTTTCTGCATTCTGAAAAGTATTTCCCTTTGATCAATTTTTATACGAGATGCTCATTTTATGATTTGCTTGTACAAAGTTATAGTGGCTCTGTGCTTATCATCCTGTGGCAGATTTGTTTTGCTTATTCTGTGACATGAATGGAGCTTGTGGTTATTGAGGGATATTAGTCTACAAATATGCATCAAATCTACATCATTTTTTAAACTTTTCTAACTTTGATAATTTGATTTCTTATTTGTAGTAAAACTTCCTTTACCACTCTGCAATGCAGATTAATTGTTCATGCATGTGGAGATTTTTTGTCAATGAGGTTTTCATTCAGATTGATAACTATCACATTTGGTTATGCGTGGCAGATTTTAGTTATATCTCTTGCTCATTGTAGGGCTGCGTTGGGTTGGTTTGCTCATAAACCTGACTGGTACGACACGAGAAATAGTAATTTTGCAATGAGTGAGGCTCAATCTGTTTCTGTGTTCGTTCATTATCTTTTAGACGAGCCATTGGATAATCAACTTCATGCAAAGGGACAGGAATCCGAAAATGAAAGCTCTTTGAATGACGTGGTAACTTTATCATTGTAGAATAAATTTGGCCTGGACTACTACACTTAGTTTTGTTGGATCTATGTGTTTTAAATGATCTAAGAACTGAGAAGTCTTGTATATACATGAAAAAATGAACTAAGAAGTGTCTGTCAAACATAACTTGTCATGAAATGATTTTTTTCTTTATATACTTAGAGATATTGCCTACAACTCTTCAGTTGATTCTTCACATTTCAAATTGTTCATTATGCACACGCAGAAAGATACATATCACCCAGTTTGGGGAAAGATTGAGAACTATGCAACTGTAAGAGATAAGCGGAAACAGTTGCTTTTTATGCTAAGCCAGCATGAGGCAGATAGGCTTGATGTTTGGGCACACCCCGTTGCCAAGTAAATCATTGTCAATTGTTTTACATTTACATTCAGACTTTGTTTCTATAAGGCATTAATAATAGATTAGTATTTCTTACGTATCAGGGAAAGCACTGTGCGGCCTAAAATTAGCTCAGATAAAATGGTGGAGTATGCTAAAACTGCTTTCTCTGTTGAGCCTCAGATAGCTTTTGCACTTGCTTCAAGGTTTCCTGCAAATGATGCTCTTAGAGGTGAGGTGACCCAATTGGTTCAGGTATGCACTTCCAACACCTTTTGGGCTTATGAAAATGAGTATATCAAAGTTATAGTTACATGTGATGAATGCAATTCTTTTAACAGCTTTTTGTTAAATACGCAGTAGTGGAATGGGGACGAGTTCACCATTTCTCCTTTTGTTTTCATTACTCCCATTGTCTCTAAATAAACTACGGTATATGTTGGATGGTCGAAGTGATTTTAATTTTAATTTATTTGAATATTTTGTAAACTTAAAAAATAAAATGTACATGGAGATGAAAATAGGTAGGAAGGAAAATGACTCCCATATCAAAGTGTTAGGAACATAGGAGCGAACGGAAGAAGAAGAAGGCTAGAATGATGGAAGAAATCTGTGACTAGCTTCTCATAATTAGAGTTTTGACTTCAACCATAATTTTATTAATATAGCAGCTGAATATAAATAGGCAAAGTCCTTTCTCAAAATGCACCCTCCGTTCGGTTGGATTTTTCCACCTTTTCATTTTCGCCCGTCCCAAAATATTTGTTTAATAGTTAGAAGTTATTCATATGAAAATTAATCTTTAACAAACTGAATAAAAGTTTGTGAACTTTTCAATTTTGCATATAATCCATAGACTTTAAAAAAACTGAAGTATCTAATTTTTAGAAATCCACATAAATTCTAATGCAATACACATTTGTCCATATGTTGATTCTACTCTATTATATTTTTACTATCTTGTTCATATCAATGTGACAGTTTTTTTATTTTTAAAAAATATTCTTGTTCCAGTCGAACATATCGGAGATTCGTAACATACCTGCAGCTTTGCCATACTTTGTGACTCCGAAAGCCGTTGATGAAAATTCTGCACTTTTGCAACAATTGCCACACTGGGCTTCTTGTTCAATCACAATGGCTTTGGAATTCCTTACACCCCCATATAAGGGTCATCCCCGCGTGATGGCTTACGTTCTAAGGGTATTGGAATCTTATCCTCCTGACACAGTCACCTTCTTCATGCCTCAACTGGTGCAGGCATTAAGATATGATGAAGAGGTGTGTAGTTTACTATGCTTCCTGGTTTTCTGCTATTTGGATTTGCAATTGATCTATGGCATAGTTTGTTGAAACTAGTGTATCAAAAGTGGCATCATTTTGGACTTTTGTACCGTCTTATTGAAATTTACAAACCAGGCTAGGAAAAAGATACGATGCATAACTCTTTCTGCTTGATGGGTAATTGTTGTGCAGAAACTAGTGCAAGGGTATTTACTGAGAGCCACCCAACGGAGTGATGTATTTGCTCATATTCTGATATGGCATTTACAGGTGCAAGAAACTTCGGTTTATTGATTGATTCATTTGATTCTTTTCTTCATGTCACTATATAGAAAATCAACCAGTATTAATAAGTAGATATTGCTTCGGCTAAACACGCTTCAGTTTGATTTTGAAATCCATCCACTTCTTCAAAAATGAAAATTAGGGTGAGACCTGTGAATTGGAGCCAGGAAAAGAGTTGGCCAAAGATGCTTCTGCAAAGGTAGATCACTATGTCTATTTTGTTTCTCAATTGATTGTTTTAGATGCTCTAGCCAGAAATTGGGCTCTTTCTTGTAGCACTTTTGTCTAAAATAACATTTTGCCTTCTCTAGACTTAAAAACTCATATAAGAAGAAATGAAGAAGGGGCTGGAGCTTAATGGCCAACAAAACCCATAAGTGCAAGTTGTGTGTGTGTGTGTGTGTCAATATATAATTATGTGTGAATATTGAGGGCTTCCATTAATTGTGCCCCCTTTTAAGTGATTGAATGATGAATAATGTACATACATATTACCATTATTGTGTATTGACTGTATTCTTTAAATAAGATGGATTTACATTGAATTTTGCAAGATCCGCATCATATCTATTATCTAGCATCTACAGTTTATGATAGACTGAGGGCTTGTTCTCTTCGCTTTGTTCTGATTAGAACAACTTCTGATTTGGTCTAATCTGATTGTAGTTATAATTTTATTTGTTTCTGATGGTCAGATTTGACGTGGTCTGATCTGATCGGATTCCATTAAGAATAAGTAAAAAGTAATAATAATAAGTTGAAGAGAACAAGCTTTGATAGTCCTTTGTTTTGTAAATAAGACTGATCCTTGTTTGCAAGTATTGCATGACAGTGTTGCTGGGTGTTGTCTTCATTGTTAACATCTGCAGCGAACTTCAAAAACTTTTGATTCACTTTGTGATAGAGTTTATGTGTGATGATGCTTTGAAAGTTGTGCATGTACTATAGCCGAAAAGAAGTGATGTAGTCACAACTCACTAGAATGTTTTTGGTTGTTTTTCAGAACAATGAATTTCAGGCTTTATTGCCCGTGGTTAGGCAGCATATAATTGATGGTTTCAATTCCAAGGCTCTAGATGTGTTTCAAAGAGAATTTGATTTCTTTGACAAGGTCACATCCATATCTGGTGTACTTTTTCCAATCCCAAAGGAGGAGCGACGAGATGGAATTCGGAGGTAAAGGGAATAGACATAGTGGCCGATTTTTCCTGCTTGAATTTATTTTTTTGGTTTGGAAAGAAAACTAAGCCGTAAATGTCAAATAGGGAGTTGGAGAAAATTCAGGTAGAAGGAGATGACCTTTATCTCCCTACTGATCCTTCTAAACTTGTCCGAGGTATTCAAGTTGATAGCGGAATTCCCTTACAATCAGCAGCCAAGGTTCCAATCATGATAACTTTTAATGTTGTGGATAAAGATGGGGATCAAAATGATATAAAGCCACAAGCATGCATATTCAAGGTATGATTGGTAAAGGATTGGATGTGGCTATGTGTAAATCCATTTCTGTATGAAAACTATGTGGATACGAGATTTTTTAAATATGTCAAGTAAACCTTGTATGCGTTTAACTTTTGAATTTAATTGGACAAAGCTCCTTTTTTTCTACTTTCATGATATGCAGGTTGGAGATGACTGTCGGCAAGATGTTCTTGCTCTACAAGTCATATCACTTCTCAAGGATATCTTTGCAGCTGTTGGGCTGAATCTTTATTTATATCCATATGGAGTTCTCCCGACTGGTCCAGAGAGAGGAATAATTGAGGTAAATATTCGTTTCCCTATGTGCACCTTTAAGTGTGCAAAGCATGATTTTTTTAAAATGGTTTGTGTGTGTGTGTGTGTGTGTGTGTGATGGTAGAATCAAATTCTCTTCTTACAAATTACAATTCATTTTGACCATAAATGCTAGTTTTTTTTTTATTACCATAAATGGTAGTTATAGATGAATCATAGTGGAGAAATCTTATGGTGCAATGGTGAGTGCTCCATTGTACAGAAATGATATTATCCTTCATTGGCTTAGATTATGTTGGGAAAATATATATTTTATAATGTAATTTTAATGGTCGACTGTGTAGTGTTTTGAAAACTTGTGGTCTCTGTTGAGTGTTTAGTTTCTCCTTTTCACATAAAGTTGTCTCATATGACAATATGAATGCTTTTGGTTAATTATTTTAATTTAGCATTGGAATTCAACAAAACATTTTCAAGTTCATTATGTAATGTTTTTCACACAATATTAGCAATACAAAATATAACATTTCTAAATTTGAATCCGGAAGTGTCTGTACCTATTACTCGGAGAGATGAAAACTTTGACATAAAGTCACAGACTCCAGTTAGAATTTAGATTTAGTTGCAATTTCCCTTTTTACGAGTGAAAACAGCGTTATACGTACTTGTCATTACTGGTTCTGCAACCTACCTACATGATTTACATTAGAATGCTGATTTATGAGTCATTTCCATTTTTTGTTTTCTTTTATGTGCATATCTCTGCAGGTTGTACCCAACTCTAGGAGCAGAAGTCAAATGGGGGAGACGAATGATGGTGGTTTATACGAAATTTTCCAACAGGACTTTGGGCCAGTTGGTTCTCCAGGATTTGAAGCTGCTCGCGAGAACTTCATCATCAGTAGTGCTGGATATGCAGTTGCTAGCCTGCTGCTTCAACCCAAGGACAGGCATAATGGGAACCTTCTCTTTGACAAGTATGGACCGACCGACCAACCTTTTTTGTACTCCCAAAATTTATTTTTAAAAATAACCATTCTATTCTATATCCCATCCCTAAAAGAGTCATATTTCAAGCACTTTATAGTTGTTGTGTGGCATTACCATTGTATTCGACGGTTTGAGCATGAACATATTTTGGTGAATGCAGTGTTGGGAGACTTGTTCATATTGATTTTGGGTTTATTCTGGAGACATCTCCCGGTAACAACATGAGATTCGAGAGCGCTCACTTCAAGCTGAGCCACGAGATGACTCAACTAGTGGACCCCTCTGGAGTGATGAAGAGTGATACCTGGTTCCAATTCGTAAGGTGAGCAATATATTGATGACCTATCTTCACATTAAAATGCTGGTTTAATCTTTTAGTAGGCTTTGAAAAGTATCTTATTAAGATTCCATTCTAAGAGTTCATGAATCTGATACGTAAGTTCACTAAGTAGCTAGTGCTCAAGCTGCAGTTCATATATTCTTATGCATGCGTGGATGCAGCTTGTGTGTGAAGGGCTACCTGGCTGCTCGGGGCTACATGGATGGGATCATTAACACGGTGGTGATGATGCTAGACAGCGGGCTGCCCTGTTTCAGCCGCGGGGACCCGGTCGGGAACCTCCGCAAGAGGTTTCATCCGGAAATGAGTGAACGTGAGGCTGCCAACTTCATGATCCGTACTTGCAACGACGCGTACAACAAGTGGACTACTGCTGGGTACGATCTGATTCAGTACATTCAGCAGGGCGTTGAAAAATGATCGAACCTCTCATGTCTCTGATCTGTCTTCTCCGTCTCCCCTAATGCTCGGTATGTCACGGACTTATAAACTCATAACTCTTACCTAAACTTGTTCTAACTATATTGGGAGTACTTAGCTTGTTGATAGTTAGTTGATGCTCTTGCAAGTAGTCTTAAACTAAACTACTAGAGCATTATAAAAAGAGCTCTACCTTATTTCTTTCTTGTCTGAGCAGGGGAGTATATAGTTTAGCAGTTAGCGTGGAATTGAAGATTGATTGGCCTTGCCTGGCTGGCCATGGAGGAATAGTGAAATATACATTGCAAAGTTATAGATACAAGTGAACAATGTATGTATGTATATATACACAAGAAGGCAGAAGCAATAGCTCTCGCATCATGCTGATCGAGGAGGAATGGAGGATGGATCTTATTTTTTTACGGAGTATTTATTTATTTATAGAGAAATTGTTCCTAACAATTAACACATTATTTATTGACCACTAAAATTCAGATTCTTTTTTTTTTTTGTAACCACGGCCCTCCTCTTGTTTGGATATTTTAGGATGGAAGGAAAATAAATCTATTTTTCCTCCTAATTACAAGAGTGAACATAAAATTATTTACTATTTAAACTTTTCTTCCATTTTAGGAGGAAAAGTAATGAAGGAAAATAAATGAATATATTCTTCTCTTATTTTCTTTCACATTTCCAAACTCATTATATCCACTTACCCCTTATATTTTCCATCATTTATTTTCTTTCCACCCTTATTTTTCCTCTTCCAAACGAAGGGTTAAAACAAAAAAGCACAAGCTTCATCGTGGTAATTGGTTGATTATGGATCATCACAAGATTCTTTAGTTATCATTGTGTTGGGGAATTGATATGTATCTCGACTTTTTCTGCTCGGCTCACACAATTAAGCTCTCCGAGTCACGCAACATTCAATAATACAAAGAAGTGAGTTTAAAAAAGAACTTTAGAGATTACAATTACATAGTTAGGTCCTTTACTCTTTGTGTGGAAATCACTTCTTCTCATCTCACTCACAAGTACTCTCAAGGCTAAGCTAGGCTCATCATCTCACTCATCACCAAGGCTATAAACTTCTCTAGAATGTTTCACATCTTTGAATTTATATATTATAAATATAAGTACATATCCATGATATATGTGTGTGTGTGTGATTGACTCCGGTCAAATGACACCTTACAGTGAAATAACATGCTTAGATGAGATGACACCAAGCTCACCACATTACACTACAAAACTCATCAATGGTCAATGCAAAGCTCACCAAGAAATATAGCAAAGCTTACCACTTTGAACATTAAAACTCACTGTTTTATTAATTTTGAAAATTTAAAAATTAATTAAAAATAAAATAGTAACACCGGTCATCCACCGGTCAGCAGCGGCGTCCGATGGTGGCAGGTGGCGGTGCCGGCGGTGGCAGGTGGCGGTGCCGGCGGCAGAGCAGCAGCAGCGTCCGGTGACAGATGGTGGCGCGGCGGCGGCGACTAGCGAAAGGTGGCGGCGGATGGCAGTGGCTGGCGGTGGCGACCAAGGGTGCCCGATGGCGGTGGCCAGCGGAAGTAGGCGGCAAGCGACGGTCAATGGTGGCGGTCAACGGTCAAAAACTAGTCAGCACTTTTTCCTTTGATTTAATTTTTTTAAAAAAATTCAAAGTGCTGAAAAAATAAGGTGAGCTTCGTCTTACAAGTGTGTGAGCTTTGTAGTTCAGCTCTGCAGTGGACAGTGGTGAGCTTTGCGTCATCTAAGCGTTGCATGTCACCTCACCGTAAGATGTCATTTGACTGGAGTCAATCCCTATATTTTTTTGTTTTTATTGATAATTTGATAAAATAAAATATTTTTGTCATTGTAGATTTTTTGATGTAGTTTTTAAATGTGTAACTTTTTTATCTACTAATTTTTTAAATAAAAAATTAACATTCCCTTTTAGATGGAGAAAATATTTATGAATCACGAATAAGTTCAAAATTACTCTGTATTTGTTTTCTTTACCCTTTTAGTTGCGTCTGTTACGGGTTGTTTTAGAGTCAAATCATGACTTCCTGAAAAAAGCAAAGTTGGACCTTTGTGAAAAAGCTAGAAAATGATTTTTTAGTGCAAAAGGCAGTGGTGCAAAATCATCCGTTCCAAAAAATCGTCAAATGTGGAGCTGGCACTACTAGTTTTCTAGTTACACCTGTCCCGTATTTAGAGCAAAGGATTTACAATAGGAAGGGATTTTCCTCTCTTCCAAAATCTTGCAATTTGTCGCTCTTAAAAATTCATATTTATTTTTTATATTATTTTTCATTTTTAATTTAAAAATTATATATATTTAGTACAAATATTTATTTATTAAAAATTATATGAATAATTGAAAAAAAATAAAAAGAGATTTTAACAACTAAGGAATTAAAAATAAGTGATTACTAGATTTAAACTATTTTTATAAGTTTACTAAACAAGTATATTAGATAGTGCTTGTGCTTCTTTTTCTAAATAATAGGATGTTTTATTAAAATCTATATATATATATATATATATATATATATATATATACATACACACACATATCTTATTGTGTGAGTTGTATAACAATAAATTTAGTAACTCAAGTGGATGGAGTATCTCTTTGCATTTTAAAAATTAGGCCCCTTAAAATATTGGGCCCGATCCGATTGGTCTGCTCAGTCTCCCCTTGGGCTGGCCCTATTCCAGGAACTTGACTGTGAGTGAGAAATCTCATTCTCAGCACAACGAACAAAAGAACATACACAGATGGAGCTAAATGCAGTCAAAACAAAAAAATCAATCTTCAAACACCATTTAAATATCTTTTTTATAATATATGCCTATATTATAGTAGAGATATTAATAAATAAAGTGAAATTTGTACTAAATAGGACTAAAACATAATGATTTTCTTAATGTAGGACTTAAACTTTTTTATTCCATAAATAGGATTTAATAATGACCTAGTATGAGGAATAATGTCCAGTAATGATGGACATTTAGTTGAATAATGACTACTTGATAATGACCAAGGTCCTACATTGGGAAATAAAAACATATGGTCCTATATTAGGAAAGTCATTATGTTCTAGTCCTATTTAGGTAAATTTCTCATAAATAAAATACTTAATTCAAAATAAATTATAACCATTTTTCCACGTGTTATTGTTATGAGAATTTCAAAATAAGATCATGTTTTTAGTACAAAATAAGATCATGTTTGGTGTACACTTTTTATGCAAAAAAAAAAATAAGCAGGGTAAATTGTTTGTACATATCAGTGGCTTGGGTCGGTAAAAATGATTTTTTTGGGAGTGCACAAATAAAAGTTCCATTCAAAATAATCACCTTTAATTTGCTTGTAAAAATTGGACTCGTCATTTGCATTTTCAGATCATAACCGATCAACTCAATCAAAGTCTTAACAGCGAGTGAAAGAGTAGCGACGGTAGCGTAAATCATTCAGCCATTATTAATGATCTCTTTATCAACCATCTCGTCAAAAACAGCAAGTAACAAAATTATTTTATTTTATCAAGTAAATAATCAAAAAGTATAAATAAACAAAAATTTTTTGTAACTTTTGAATAGTGAAGAGTAATTTTTTCTGGCGGAAAGAGTAATATATAAGTGAAATTTGCACTAAATAGGACTAAAACATAATGACTTTCTTAATGTAGGATTTAAGCCACTTCAAGTTCATCTCCAACTTTAAAGGAAGAAAGACCAAAGTAGGACTAAAACATTGAAAATTTAACAAAATAGGACTTCCATGTTTTTATTCCCAAAATAGGACTTATATTACCATACATGGTCATATACATTACCAAAAAAGTATAGTAATTTGCACATGTACACTGCCACATTACAACAGGGCAAAGTCACATTACCACAGTGCATAGTCATATTTCAGGAAAAAAACATGAAAGTCCTATTTTGGTACTTTTCTCTATGTTTTAGTCCTATTTATGTTGATTTCTAAACTTTAAACTCGTTGGTTAATGGGTATTTAGAGCCTGTTCTTTAGGACTGGAAAAAAGAGCTGGTTGTTAGAAGAAACTAGAAAAATCTGGAAGAAATTGGAAGAAACTGGAAGAAAGTGGAAGAAACTGGAAAGAACTGGAAGAACCTAAAGAAACTGGAAGAAACTAGAAAAAACTGGAAGAAACTCGAAGAAACTGGAAAAAACTTCAAAAAATTGGAAAACCTAAAAAAACTTTTAAAAAATTTATTTTAAATTCTTGTTGTTATAAATTATTATTATTATCATCATCATCATCATCATCATCATCATCATCATCATCATCATCACATTATCTTAATGAATACCTTTAAGATACAAAAAAAGTATTGTAATTTTTTAAATACAAAAAATTACTCTTAAAAAAAATAATTATAATATAAAGTTAGCATACAAATTAAAAAAATGTTTTTGTGGTTACGTTGCACCCCAATTTATTTATGCAGTATTCATTATAAATAATATATTTGTCATTATACTTTATATATTACTCTGCACAAGATTTTGTTTTAAATATCAGACATGTCACATAATGTAATCAAACCTATTTTTTCTTTCAGGATTGACATTTTATTTTCATTGAAGTCCTATTTTTGGAATAAAGACATAGAACTTTTTTTTACATTTTTATGTTTTACTTCTATTTTAGTCTTTTTCTCTAAACTATTTTGACTAACAAATTTTTATAGAGATTAGAAAAGTGAGCAAATTTTAAGTAATAAAGGAAAAGGTGAGAGGTCTTATATAAAGTTAGATTAATAAAACATTCTATGTCACTATTTTATCCATAATTTTTTAATATATTTTAATATATTGATGTTTTCCTGTTTTATCATGTAGATTAATATACAAAAATTGTCTTATTCATATTAAAAAGTTGAAAAAAAATAATGAGTGTGAATCGTAAAAATAGTGAGATGAAAAAATAATTTATAAACTATAGTTATGAACATAGCAGTTGTAATAATAATGATGATGATAATAATAATAATAATAATAATAACCACATTAAAAATATATTGTTTTTAGAGTAATTGGTTGGGGAGTAGAAAGAATTTGAAGAAAATGAAAATAGTTGGAAGAAACTGGAAGGAACTGAAAGAAACTGGAAAGAACTAGAAGAAACTGGAATAAACTGATTCTTAATTGTTGTATTTGTAAATGGGCTTAGATATTCTTATTGTTATTGGACTGTATATAGTTGTCACACGTATACTATAACTAGGATTTAAAATACCTTTTGGCATATTTTAAATTATGTTATATACTCCGTATTTTTTATATTTCCTTCAAGTCCAAATAATTCTCTTGGCCAGTTGAACAATGTTCTTAACGGAATTGGAAAAAAATGAGAAAACAATCTCATCAAATTTCAATTCTTATATGAGCTCATCAATGACGTTTTTTATGTGTAGCTTGATGAAATTAAAATGTCATTGATGAGTTTTTTTTTTTATGTTTGGTTGAAGACGTTGTTCAACTAAGATAAACTCTTAGAGTGTCAAAGGAATATTAAAAAAATTTTAACATGTTAAACACATAGTATTACTTAAAATAAACAACTTATATATGCATTATACATGCGTGGTCTTATGATGAATTCAATGGGGAAATGACGCTAAAAATTTTAAATTGAATTCAACTCAATTTTCAATTTTTTTTTCTAGTTTTTTTCTATATCCAACTCTGTTTTTTCAACAACGAGAAGAGACTCTTACTAGACTGTATCTGTTTGACGGGGTTTGATGGAGTGTCATGCAGGCGCCTTGTAAGCGATTGGGTGTGAGTTAAAAAATACGGAGTATATGTTATTGGACTTAAAGGTGGAGCCTAACGGAAAAGTGATGAGATGAAGATGTAGATTATTTTGATTGGTTAGTATGTATACGCATGACATTTTGATTAGTTGAAAAAAAAAATTAAAAAAAAAAAGAGGAGAAACACAATACAGATTCAAGGCAAATTAATAGAAAACGTAAAGACACACAGATTTAACGTGTTTCACCAACGTTGTGTTGGCTACGTTCACAGGCAAGAACGGAGGCACCATTTACTTATCTGCATACGTAGCAGAAACACAATACAGATTCAAGGCATATTAACATCAAGCCATCACCCATCAAGGGACCATGCCCCTCTATAGCGGTAGCCGCATGGTGGAGTAGTGCGATGGAGCTTGAAGAAGAGACATGCCACTTCCTCAAACCCTATAACATATAGCCTTATAATGACGGAGAGGATAATAGAGAGCTGTATTATATAACGGTATGAATCCATACATTAGAGTGTGTTTATCATAATCTACTTCTTATAATTATCATCATCATCATCATCATTAACCTCACCCAACTCTTGCCATTTGGATGTTGGCATTATTATTATTGTATCCTTTGGACTTTCTTGACTCATCAATCTCCCTCAGTCTTGACCTCCACTTGAAGAATGTCCCAAACAACGCCTCCGTCTCCTCCAACGTTTTCCCTTGGGTCTCCGGCATCAACGTGTAGAAGAACACCCACCCCACGGCGGCGATCCCGCTGTACAGGTAGAAGGACCCACCTATGGTGATCCACTTGTACAACGATATGAACGTCATCGAAACGACGCCGCTTGTTGCCCGGTTCATGCCCGTCCCCAAGCTGCACCCCGTCGCCCGGAGACGCAACGGGAAAATCTCGGAGCTGTATACCCACGTGATGGGCCCCGCCCCGATAGAGAAGGCCGCCACGTAGGCTAAGGTCATGGCGACCGCGAGGGCGACTGCCCACGTCACCTTCTCGCCGGAGTGGTCAATGACGGTCAACGCCGACGCGAGGACGAACTGCGTCACGACCATCCCGCCGACGCTCGCGAGGAGCAGCGGCCGCCGGCCGAACCGGTCGAGCGTGAAAGTCGCCACCAGTATGAACACCGTCTTCGAGAAGCCGATGGCGATGGTGCAGAGGAGCTTGTCGGTGTCGGACGTGATGCCGGCCTTCTCGAAGATCCGGGGGCCGTACAGGACGACGGCGTCGATGCCACTGGCCTGCTGGAAGAAGTGGATGCCGAGGCCGGTGAGGAGGATGTGGCGGACGGCCGGCGTGGAGGAGACGAAAAGCTCCTTCCAGGCGCCGCCGGCCTTGTCCCTTGGCTTCTCCGACGTTGGGGCCGTGATGACGTCGTCGTGGCAGTCGTCCGGCACGCCGGCGGCTTCCTTGATCTCGGCGAGTCTTAGGTGGGCTTCTTCCGGCGAGTCGGAGGTGTTGAGAAGCACGCGCCTGGCGTCGCCCAGGCGGCCCTTCATGACGAGCCACCGCGGCGACTCCGGCATGGTCAAGACACTGACGCCGAGCAACGCCGACGGAAGGGCTCCGACGCCGAGCATGAACCGCCAGCTCAAGTGAACCGCCAGATTCTTAAATGCAAAATTTGATACGTATCCCAACAAAACACCTGCGCACATACCAACAAATAATTAAATTGAAGTAATTTGTTGTCCCTTTTTAATTTGTTGGAGAAATCTCAAAATATTTCATCCCTCCCCCGCAATATTGTTCTACTCCATAATCCATATACGGAATTTGCTAATTTTTTGGTAAACACAATGTGGCGTGCACCCTTACGTCATGAAGTATTTTTAGAGACGGAGGAGTATAAAGTTAAATTTTAATTATTTTCTTTATTTGTTTTTATAGAAAATTTAATGCTGAGTAATTACATAAAATAGTCTCGTCACCTTTTATACTAGAATTCATTTGAAATAGTTTTTAAATATTTCGTATGTAATTTTTTAACATCAATGTTAAAATAAATTGAATTGACAATAACTTTGATTAAACATCATAATTCAAAATAGGAAGATCTTAGAAGGATGGAGAGAGTATGACTTATTAAATTCTCATTTAGGAGTACTTCATTTTGTGTTAAATGCGAGTAGCACCTATTATTAATTTATTGTTATATTTTGAATTATTTGAAAGAATTTATTGTGTTTTTTGGTAACTCTATATTACTCCTTATTTTATTTAAAAAAACTCGTGACAACACCTCTGAACCCCCTCATAAAGTGCCTCCCCGCTTACTAGCTTCTGGCTCCACCACCGGTGGTAGGTAATGAGGCGTGACGAGATTCCTTCACATTGTTAATGTTATAACTTGACACAACCCCTCGTGTGCTTTTTGGCATAAAACTAAAAATTGAAAATATATTTGAATTGGGCATTGTCTTTACATGTCTATGAATTGCATAGTACCAATTTAATAGTCAAAATTGGGAGTCATTTTATATCCATAAAAAATTCATATTATTATATCTATGAACATGACTTTTATTATCCGTATCATCTAAACGAAAGTTTTCAACTTTTTTGGAGTGTTGTGTTGAATTTTCCGCAAGAAGATGGGAGAAACGACAAGGTGCATAATAGCCTTAATAGGTATTAGGGAGTAGTAAATTCTACGAAGGCAAGTCACAAGTGGGTGGCAAATCAAGAAAAGGACCTCATCATTTGGATTTGATGTAATGATGTATTAATTTAAATTTTAAATTTTAAAACGAGATGAAATTTTAAATTTTTAAATTTATTTTATTTAAATATTTGGTATAAAAAATAATTTTAATACTCCATCACGCCCTCTTACTTCTTTCAAATTTGATTTCTATGATCTTTAATTTATCGTTTTGAAAATTAATGTCTTTATACATACTGTTAGAATATATGAAATATTTCTTGAGTCACAACCACAAACTTGAGCTTTTGATTGAATTAGTTTCTTGACATGATATCAGAGACTTGTTGACTAAGAGGTCATGAGTTCGAAACTCAGCATCACTCAGTTTTTTTAAAAAATAAAATTTCACTTGCAAGAATAAAGTTATTTTTCTCATAAGTTAGCTAGTGATCAAAATTTTAAAACATTGACCATTGAAAGTGTAAACTTTACTTAAAAGTTAAAACACTCCTCTCAAGCAAGGATATGGATATATGTAGTACGTACCAAAATTGATGAAAACTTCCGGGAAGGATGTGAGGAAGCCACGCGCCGACGCGGGCGCAACCTCGGCGGTGTACACAGGTGCAATCATGAGGGCATAGCCGACCCCAATTCCGGCGACGAAACGCCCCACCATAAGGAAAGCGTAGTTGGTGGCGAAACCCATCAGAACGGCTCCGATGAAGAAGATGACGGAGGCGACCACCATGGTGTACCGGCGTCCTATCCAGTCGGAGGTGCGGCCGGCCAGGCCGGACCCTATAAGGGAATACAGATTAATTATCCCCACAAGAATTTCCACTTGAACGTCCGATATTTTCAGGTCCTCTTTTATGTATATGGCTGCGCCACTCATCACTCCTACATCTGCACCCAAGACCCACCAATAATTCCCATTATTATTTTTCAATCCAACAAATTCATTCTAAAATAATGGAGTATTATTTTAAAGAAAAATGAACCATCCAAATATCCAATACAATAGAATGGAACAAACAAAAATAAACAAATACCCGAATAGGCAACATAATAGTGTCAAAGTAACTTGAGATATCCTTTAGTAAAATTTGCATTAAATAGGACTAAAACATAATGACTTTTCAAATGTAGGACTTAAAATTTTTTATTCCTTAAATAGGACTTAATAATGACCTAGTGTGAGGAATAATATCCAATGATGTTAGACATTTACTTGAATAATGACTACTTGATAATGACTAAAAGTCTTACATTGGGAAATAAAAACATATGGTCCTATATTGGAAAAATCATTATGTTTTAATCCTATTTAGGTAAATAACTCTATTTTTTACTCCCTCTCCCCAAAAAAATTTGTTAAATACACAAAATGAAACGAAATGTTAATTTTTTTAAATTTATTTTATTTAAAGATTGATATAAAAATAAAAAATAAAATATACTCCCTCCGTTTGGAAAAACACTTCCCATTTAGATTTGGGGCAAAAATAAGGAAATGTTAAATTATAGTTGATTTCCAATTTTGCCCCTGATGTGATGGGTAAAAGTAAGATGTGATGGATGAGTTATTAGAGAAAAAATATGATGTGATAGGTAGGGTATGAAAAAATAAGGGTAAAAGTGGTTTTTTAATAGAAAAGGGAAGTGTTTTGTTGGAAGTGGAAAAAATGAAAGAGGAAGTGTTTTTGAGAACGGAGGGAGTATATATTAAAAAATTATGTAAAATTCAAAACAAAAGGTACAAAAATACTTTATTTTATTAAATAATCGATGAAAACATACAAATAAACAAAAAAATCGTAATTTTTAAATGGTAAACTGTGATAACTTTTTGGGACGAAGTGATATCCTAACACGGTCTCGAACGTGCATGGTTGCTTCGAGTCTTACATGGGAAGCATTAGTTTTTTTTTAACATGATAGATGGGAGTACTCGTGACTCTCATCAACAAGATTTCGATATCATATCAAAAAGCTAATTTCACCTAAAGTTAATTAAGCTTGTGATTGCAAGATTAATAAAAGATTTTCCGACTGAGTACCACATTAATCTTGAAGTGTTTGTCGAGTTTTTGAATATTTGTTAGTACGTGAAAATTAACAAACATTGACCATAAATTAAATACTCCGATCAACACTGACGCACTGTACTCACCATAGCCAAGCAAAACGGATGCCAAAGAAGCCAAAAAGGAAGCAGCAATGGCGTATTTGTTTCTCGTCATGGGCTTCTTTGGAGGATCAAAAGCTGGAATAATAATATGATCATCATCACGGCGGCCGGCCGAGGTGACATCTTTAGCCTCTCCCATCATCACGACAGTGGGTTCTCGCCGGCGATGACAGCAGCAGATATCAATATAAGACTAATTAATTGTTTGTGGTTTAAGTAATTACACACACCAATAATAATAGTATGGTTGAAAAACTTGAAATAATTGGGGAGAAATAAAAGAGTACGTACCGTTTGTGGGTGATAATTAACCGAGCTCATGTTCTAATCCTTAGTTATATAGACGGCGACGCCCACTTTTACTTACCGAGTAGTACTCATGATGGCAATACTATTGTTTATTTTGGCAAACACCAAAATCATAATAATCATTCCTTCCCACTATATTTATAAGTACCTTTTTCTCTATTTTGATTACAAAATATGAATTACGATATAGAATTCTGTAATTTTTGAAATTATACAAATTGGTATATCAATATGAAATAAAAATTACATATTAAAAAATTACGTTCAGAATTCTACAAAACATGATGTGACAAGAATATTTTATTTTATCAAATAGTCAATCAAACATACAAATAAACAAAAGTTATCAAGAGGAGAGAAAAAAATGTAATCAAAATGGGGACGGGGGAGTATTTTTTAATATTTCTGTTAGTTTTTTAAAATAAATATAGTATTTGTGTTGGGGAATAAACACACAACACACACAAATAATATGTGAGAAACGAGAGAAACCGAACACAAACGACACACAAGAATTTAACGTGGTTCGGTTTCCTTAATCCACGGCTGCAACAGGAGGAATTTCTTATTTCACTTGTGGTGTCGATTACAAGTACAAGGGCTCAATATATATAGGAGGAAAAAAATTCGGGTTACATAACATGGGCCGACCAATAAGTCAAGCCCAAGCCTCCACAAACCCAACATTCTCCCACTTGGAGGCTTGATACTCATCAACTGTCATCTGCCACGATTGCTTGTACATCGAGTAATCTTCTAAGCTCTCCTGCTACATCGGCCCTCTCATCAGACAACTGAAAGGCGCATTGAAGCTCTCCCAAGCTCCAACACATCAGTCACGACTAAATCTGCCCCTGACTCATCCTCGGTCCCTACCAGCTCCGACTGCTGACGCACACTGCCGGATCCTAGAACATCTTGAGAATAAACACTCTCCATACTCAGCAAGAATTTTCTGGAGATGTTCCAACACTTGGAATACTGGTTCTCTTGACCCACTGAAACTTAGCTGAAGCGCCTCTTGGAATACTGGTTCTCACTCATTCATCCTGAGTCTGACCTGTGGCTCTGAGTTTCTTTCTTGCATAGACAACCTTATTCTGCCCACGAGACTCTGTGAACCGGACTTCGTTTCTCTTCTGAACGGGGACGGTCACTCCCTCAGATGGTACCTCGACCATATACAGCGAACCTCTCTTCTTTCCGTGAACCATGACAAGATTTCCCTTCACGACCTTTCACTGCCCATTTCTGAACTTCACCTCGTGGTCTGTTCGTCCAACTGCCTGACAGAAATCAAACTTTTCTTCAAGGCTGGAACCACTCTGACATCCTTCAAAGTCTAGAAACCGACTGAGATCTTCAATACCATGTCACCCATGCTCGTTACCTCAAGAGCTCTATCGTCTGCAAGTCGTACCTTTCCAAAGTTTCCAATAACCAGATTCTGCAATGCTTCACTGCTGTGGGGATGAATACATACCCAAATAATTTAAACTTTAAAATCTCCAAAAAATATTTATTTTTTAGAAAATCAAAAGTATATTTAAATTAAAAACATAAAAACAAAAAATGAAAAATTAAATGCAAGAAATACTTATGAAACTTTTTTTTTATATTTCACAAACTACAGTGAACGGTTGATAACAAAATGATATTTTAAATGTGGGTTAATATTTTAAAATTCTTCTACAAAGAATTAAAACTCAAATAAAAGTACAATGTAAATTTGAGCCAAATTTTAAAAATAAACTAATTATTTAATGAAAAAAATATAAAAAGACGATTATATTTATAATATATTACGGAGTAGTTTATATATTCGGCTTGAAATTTTAGATATGAGAAGTTACCTCGTATTTTTTCCCAAATACCGAACCGAACATTCGATTTGGTACGTTACGGTATTTTAGCGGTATATTTTTTGATTCGTTATTTAGCAGTACTTGCTCACCCCCAGGGGTACTTTTAATTTTTAAATGTAGAGTAAAAAAGGTTATGAGAAGATATTTTTCGGACAAACAAAAAGAACATTTCGAAAAATATATATTCTCCGTATGACGGACAGTGGGAGTAATACACCCTCCGTCCCATATCTTTATTTCAAACAATGTATAAAATTTTATCTCATTTAAAATAATTTTATTTACAAATTGGTACTCCCTCCGTTTTCAAAAACATTTCTTCTTTCATTTTTTCCCACTTCCAACAAAACACTTCCCTTTTATATTAAAAAACCACTTTTACCCTTACTTTTTCATACCCTACCTATCACATCATACTTTTTCTCTAATAATCTATCCATCACATCTTACTTTTACCCATCACATCAGGGGCAAAATTGGAAATCAACTATAATTTAACACTTCCTTATTTTTGCCCCAAATCCAAATGGGAAGTGTTTTTCCAAACGGAGGGAGTATAAAAAAACTAAAAATTACATCAAAAAATCTACAAAATAAGAAATGACAAAAAAATTTTGTTTTATCAAATGATCGATAAAAAATCTACATATAAATACTCCCTCTGTCCCAGAATATTTGTCCACTTTCATTTTTACACACTATGCAATGCACTTTTTTAATCCATTTTATCTTGTAATTTGTATATTAAAAAATTATAGAAATTATATATTAATAATCTACTCCCTCCGTCCCGTGAAACATGAGACTTTTGCTTTTTAGGAGTGATTTAAGGGTAGTGTATTTTGGTATTAAATTTCCAAAAATGTCCTTTGATGTGATGAGTAAAATTATGATTTGATGGATAGATTATTAGTAAAAAAGTATGATGTGATAGGTAGGATATGAAAAAGTAAAGGGTAAAAGTGACTTTTTAATAGAAATGAGAAGTGTTTTGTGGGACAGATGAAAAAAGAAAGGAGAAAGGTTTTATGAGACGAAAGGAGTATATGTTAAGACAAATCAAACAAGATCACACATGACTATATATTTAGGCTTACACATTGAGAGAATTTGATGAGTCAAAGTGCTTAGATGAATAGTTCCAAAAGTAAAAAGGGGACGAATATAGTGGGACGGAGGTAGTATTAGTTATGAGAAGTTTGTAATAATCGGTAATAAATAAGAAAGAAACATATGGGAGTGAGAGAATAATTACCACTTGATCAGACTTAAACTGATCGGGTCTGGGTCGGGTCCGGCCTTTCGATCATCGGATCAAGTCTCAATAATGCTACAGATTGGCAGCATTTTGTAAAAAAAAAAAAAATTACGGTGCTTTTCCCTCCTCCGCCACCGTTCCTTCTTCCGCCACCGCCCATCTCCTTCTTCTTCCGCCACCGTCCATCTCCTTCTTCTTCCTCTAGCACCTCATCCTTCCAAGTTCCAAACATAAGATTCGTTCTTAGAATTCAATCCAATTCCCTGCCCTAATAGTTTCCAATCAAGTCGCCCAAAAGAACTATCCCTAATCCCGCATCCTCTCTCTCGCAAGTGCATCTCAATCTATCAGGATAAACGTGGCAAGCACCAAATTGTAGAGGATGACACCCGCCTTTGCCTAAACATCATAGGGAAGAAGAATAAGAAGCTCTGATTCGATTTCTACATGGAGGTATCAAATCTCTAACACTTACGAATCATATTTGGACACATATTCTCTTGGCAGAGTTGTTTTAATCTCATGCTCTTAATTATCCAATTATTTCCTGTTAGAATATTTTAATCATCTTCTAGGCATTAGACACCTAATCTATCAATACCTGGATACTTGTATTGAATTGCGTATGGTTTGTGTTTCACCATACATATAACTATGAAGAAGGATAAACTTACAACAACAAAATATACAATATTACAACAATTTGACCGGGGTACCTACGGTGCTCCGTTCGTAAAATTGATGATTCCTACCCCCTAACACCCCCCTAAACCCCCACCTAGCCCCACCGCCTACTCCCAGCCCATACCCTGCACCCCACCCTCTCCCTTAATCCCCATTTTGGCAGTTTCAAAACTGCCAAAATGGGGATTAAGGGAGGGGGTGGGGTGGGGCTAGGGGCTAGGTGGGGGGTTTAAGGGGGTAGGAACCATCAATTCTACGAAAGAGCAGCGTAGGTACCTCAATCGAATGGTTGTATGAAATGTTCTACAAAAATTGTTGTAAGTTTATCCTTCCTCATAGTTAAATCAATGTGGACAAACATTATATCCACATTCATTTGATTTTTAATCTATTTAGAAAGTAATAATGAACATTTTATTTAACAACATAATGATTATTATACTTTCTAGCTTCCAACTTCATAATAGCGATTATTTTGACTCTATTTTCAGTTTCTTAGAACCAGATTTAGTTGTCCATTTTTCCTCCTTTGGGTGTTTAGAATTAATTGTCCACTTTCTATATTTTGTAAACAAATTATTGTGAACAATCAATTATACCATCTAATAACATATTAGTATTGTCGCAATGTCGCCACTCGTAATCAATAAAGATAAGTTTGTTTCAATGGTTCTTTGTTGCAAATAATCTTGAATGCATGCTTGGTTTTTAAATATGCCTCCTTGTGGGGGAGTGCAAAGGAAGGTTGAGACATTCATCGTTCAGATGTGATTCATGATGTTGCAATAAATGAAATACTTCTAGTTGCTTATACATTTTTGTTTTACACCTCCCTTTTTAGTTTTAGTGTTGTGAATCCAATTGTTTTCAGGTTGGGTTGCGGGTACTTCTTTGTCCTATTGGATCTAATGTTGTCCTCCGAACAGCAAGGTAAACTTTTATAGGCCCTTTTGTTTATATATATGTGTGTGTGTGTATATATATATATATATATTCATTGTTTTTAAATTTCTTTTTGTGATGATTACGTATCAGACTATCAGCACAAGTGCCCAAGACATGATTTTCTTTATGTTTATTTTTTTGTATGCTTCACTGCATATATTAGTTCAGTGATCACTTGTGTTGCTTGTTGCAAATATGCAATTATAAGATAAAATCCTTGTAGAAAATAGCAAAGCAAAGAGCTGATTTGTGTAGTGCTGTTGGGTAGAATTAGAATATTCTTTTGCGCGTTATACATCAGCCAACTTTATGGTGAGGTTCATTAATGTGTGGTTTCTGCAGTTGTTCAGTGGGTGTTATTCTACCTGTTTATTCTACATTTAAAGCAATTGAACGAAGAGATCAAGACGAGCAACAAAATGGCTTATGTACTGGGCAGGTTGGTGATGTAGTTGCTATCATGGGTTGCTGGGGAGGGGGTGTGGTGGTGGTGTATTTTCCCCATTACATTGCATCTTTAATTTTCCTGCTATGGCTAGCAAATAAAAGGGGGAATCTTGCAGAATGGATTATATCCTTAGTCTCTATTGAATCTAAACCAAACAAATTCACAAGTATCTGTCTCCAATCTTTTGATCATTTTGTTGCACAGTCTAAAAGTCGTTTTCTTGATTATCTCTTTGAACTAAAGAAGGCTGCTCTTGTTCCTTGCAGCTTATGGATCTTTTAGCATGGTAGAATTGTTCACGGACAAGCTTCTCCACTGGTACATGTTATATCTTGCCTTCTTATCTTTTAAGCCTTTTTTAGTTTTGAATGGAGTATTAATATAAAAATTATAGCCTTCTGACTTTTATGAACACTGCTTGTTCAATACATTCAGGTTTCCACTATACTATCATGTGAAGTTTGCATTTCTTGTTTGGCTTCAACTTCCATGTATTGATGTAAGTCATTGCCAATGTTCTCTTCTTTTATGTGTTAATATATGTTAGCTTTATGTGTTAATATATGTTAGAAGTTTCTTTTAACTAAATGTGAAAAGCAAGAGATCACTCATTCACATTATTTCTTACATTTTCTGTTGGCAGGGTGCAAAGATGCTGTATATGAATCATCTTAGGCCATTTCTCTTAGAGCATCAGACTAGGCTTGACCAAATTATTGGGTTTTTGTATGGTGAAATGGTAAAAATTCTTTCCATTTTGATCCTTTTGTAGCATAATACTCCCTCCCGTCCCAAAAAACACTTTCACATTTGATAAAGTTGGTATTTAAGTTAAGTGTAATTTGGGTGTTATTTTCTCATTTTACCCTTGCTTTGTGGTAGGATAGAATAGGATGTGATGTGTAGATTATTAGATTAATAATGAATTGGTATGATGTGACATGTATGCTAATAATTGATAGGGGCAAATAGGTAATTTTAATTGAAAGATGAAAAGTTTTTTGGGACGGATGAAAGGGAAAGAGGAACCGTTTTGTGAGAGAGAGGATGTGTTTCATGACCCCTAGGTAACAATCTGATGTCACTCGATTTTTTGTATTTATCCTACATTGTTAAAAATACTTCTTTTTGTAATACTCCACATTATAAGCACGAAAACCTGTATGAGATGGACATATGAAAAAAACACTCCCCCTATCCAAAAAGAGTCATGTTTGAGTAGGATACAACTTTTTATTTGTATTTAAATCAATCAAGGTACAATCTTTTGCATGTTGTGAATGAACATTTTTACCCAAAAACTTATATCCATGATTTACACCTTACCATGTAATCTCTGTGTACATATTGCACCTCCCCATACCCTATTCTTAAGTGAGACATTGACATACACTAGGTTTGTTTGGATTGTACATGAGTTGCAAACTAAGATTACATATTTTATCATGGAATTTCAGTCTAGGTTTGTCTGTCTTCATCAGGAAGAATTCCAATTTGTGAAGACAATGCTAATGAAGGTTTGGGTGTCTGGTACCAGTAAGTAAACAAACAAATTTGTGAAGACAATGCTGATAAATCATTATTATTATTTGCAAGAAACGTTTAAAACGAACAAAAAACAAAAATGACTGTTATAGGTTCCATACGACCGGGACAAGGGCAAGCAAGTGGCGTGATTGAAGGGCGAAATGGGGAGGCAAATGGGCAAGCAAGTGGCGCGATTGAAGGGCAAAATGGGGAGGCAAATTCAGAGTCTGGTGATGATTGAGTGATGACTAATAAGCTTTTAGTGGATGGTTGCAGTTTCTGAGCTGAACTGAGGACTGGTTTTTTTCTGAGTGCTGAGAAGAGCCTTCATTTTTTCTAGAATGTATTTCTAATATAGTACTTTTTATCTCTTTAGTTTTTAGTTAGTCATGAATCCTGGTGTTTTTTCATGTATATTTTCCCTTCACACAACTCAAAAAGTGATAATGACGCATAAACGCTAATTGATGATAACAGGGGCTTACCATTATAATTGCTTAACCGAGCAGGTAAGATTGTGTTTAGACGAAGAAGGTTTTTAGTCATATACTCATTCCATCCCAAAGTAAGTTTACTCAATTTAAAATGGAGTAAAATAAAGTCAACTTTGTAATTTCATTTTTAGAATGAAAATTACTACTACGAACTTACGAAGTACAAACTTAGGAGGGTGTATTCAACTTAGATTTTAAAAGATTGTATTAGATTTTTTATAATAAATGGATTTGTGTAGATTTTAAAAAGTATATAGATTTTAATGTATTTCATTAAAAGATTTGTGTAGATTCTAAAAAGTTTATAGATTGTTGAATTGTTCTACGAATCAACTAGCATTCACCTCTAACAAAGTAATGGACTTATGCAAGTCTGAAACAGAAAAGTCATGCTAGAAAATGAGCAAGGATTGATTTTGGAAAAACAGAAAAAAAGAAAAAAGAAAAAAAATTCTTGTAAATTGCAGTCTGCAGATGTCGATGGAAAACAAAACAAAAAAACAAAAAATTGTAAAAAACAAAAAAAATAACTTTTGAGTGCTGCAATCAGCACCACACGCCCCATAACCTAAACACAAGCCATGGTAGGAGCCCAACTCCCCAAATCGTCGTTATCCATCCAGATCTATATGAACATGACCCTGATATTTATTTGCAATTATTAGATCTTGCCGAAATCAACTAGCCTTATCGCAACCGCCGCTGTCGATGACCTTGTTCCAGGCGTCTCCCCATCTCCCTGGACACACTTTCATTGGAACGAATCCATCAAAATCTTTAGCTTTATGATGAGATTTCAACCAAGGTTCTTATTTACCCCCTCCGTCCCAAATTATTTGTCACATTTCTATTACCGAGGCAAAATATCAAGTTTTTTCAATTCATTTTATTTACATATTGGTAAAGAAATAAAAAATAAAATTTACATATCAAAAAACTACATGAAAAGTTCTTCGAAATAAGAGGTGTCAAGAATATTTTATTTTATCAAATAACCAATAAAAACGTAGAAATAAACAAAAGTTCCCGCGACTGTTGAAAAAGCAAATGTGGCAAATAAATTGGGACGGAGGGAGTATATCAAGTGACCTAAAATCCATCAGAATCCGTACTCAATGAGATTCTTTAAAAATCCATCACTTTTTCAACAAAAAACTGCTCTCGGGTACCCCCTATTTTGATAAAATAACTGCCGGGTACCCTCTATTTTTAAAACTAACTACGGGGTACCCCAAATATATAGAAACTTATTGATGAGGCCCTCCGTCTATTCTTCCGTCAGAAGACATCATTCTTTCTCGTTCCCTCTCCAACATTAACGCTTTGTTTCCCTTTCTTGGCACCTGACAACAGTTCCGGACAACATTTTGGGTGAAGTTTTTTTGCCGCTAGCTGGTTCGTCTTTGTTCTTCATGGTAAGTGTATTATATTTTTACAAGAACTGGACGAATTTGGGACTTGGATTTAGGGTTTGTATTGTACGTCATTTCATTCGATTTTACATAGATTGAATGACGGAATTTTGTTAGATTCACTTGGATTCATCAATTCTTTATGAAACAGAGTAATGGTAGTAACTGGACATGATATTGTATTTATTGGCTTTGAAATTCTAAAAATTTTGAAATTTTTTTTATGTTTCAGGCTCCAACGGGTTTTTTTGTATATGTGAAAGACAAATGCATTGTTATAGACAATATTGACTTGGACATGTATTTTACAAAGGATTTGTATTCGGATGTCATTGCAAAAGCTAAAGAACAGTATGTGAGTCTTCCCAGGTTCATTGGTTTTCAGTTTCATACACCCTTTAAAGAAATTCAGAGAGAGTCATTAATTTCTGATTCGGATTGGGTTAAGATGATTGATCATTGGATTGATACCCCTTCTACTTACATCCCCTTATACATAGTTGAATTACAAGACCCTAATATATTACAAACTATGGCTGAGTGTATTGATTTCAATGCCCAAACTGGTAATGGGGCTGGCATGAGTGAAGTTGATGAATGGGCTGACAATTTGCTTGTAACTCCAATTGAAAATAGTAATAACACTCCAAATTCTGAAGGTAGGACTTGTAAGAGGACTAAGTTAGTTGTTAGAAGAGAATCAATTAAGTCTTTTGAGGTGCAGCCCCAACCCTCCTTCATTGATCCTGAGAGTATACCTGTCCATACAGAAT